TTGGGACCCGGTTCGCTTTGCCTGCCGCTTGTTATGCTAATTAGTTTTCGACGTTGACGTTTGCCAGCAACACAGCCGCCGCCGCCGTCGTCGTCGTCGTCGTCGCCGACACCAACGATGTCTTTAATTGGTTCTCATGTTGCCAGTCCACGAAGCTCTGGATGCCGGCTTTGTTGTTGCTTTTCCTATTGCTATTGCTGTTGCAGATGTTTGTTGCCGTTGCAGTTGCAGTTGCAAGCAGCAGCTGCTGCCTTGCTTTCTCCATTCTTTGGCACTTTGGCACTGGCAATTAGACTCCTTTTTTTGGTAGGAGTTGGAGCATTGGAAAAGGGTGTCAAAACGGTGGGCACAATCGTGTAGGGGTTTTAGGGGGCAAAAGGGATTGGATTCGTTAAGGAAATGCATAAATTTTAAAGAATTTATTTATTTTTATTGAATCTTTTGAAGGATCGTTAAAGTAAGATATGCCCAAAAAATTATTTATCAAAAAATTTCCAATGCCTTATTGAACAATTTCTAACACACTTTATGCTAATGTTATACAAATTGGGTTTTATTTAAAGCCGCATAATCCATCCAACGCACACATTCCAGTTTTGGCACTTTAACCCTTTTTGGTTGGGCCAGTAGAGAGCTTTCCCTTAACACCTGATTTGTCCACACATCCATCATTATCATTATCATCAGGCCCATGGATCCAGGACACAGGACGTTGTTAGTTCACAATTGCGTTTTGTTGTGCTAACCAAAACTGTCAACATTCAGCTGGCAGTAGTAGTTGATGATGGAGTAGGAACAGCAGCCGGTTTAGTCCAAACGTTATGATAATCACCCACGTGGTCTTGCCGGATGGATAGCGGGATGGAAACAGGTGGAAAAGCCGATGGCAGGACATGGACTTGGGCATGAATAGGGGCAGACGACAGGTAATAAACAATTCCATTTACCGACAGCTGTCAGCAAATAATGAAAAATTGATAACAACAAGAAAAACTGAGGGAAATGAGCTATCGAATGCTCTAAGTTCTAGGATTTTACACTTTTTTTTGATATTTTATTCTAATTTTAATGAGTTTTATTTTATAATTTCTTACATTTTTTATAGAAATTGTTCAAAATCTTAAAGAATAACCAAATTTTTCTAAGGACTTTAAGAAATAAATTTTAATTATTGCTCATACGACACGTTGAACGCTTTCATTAATTTAGCAAAAGAAGCATAAAACCTTGCAGCATAACGAATTTTTCTCGTTAGCTTAAAAGAAAAAAGGGTAGAAAATATTGTATAAAATATTGCGCATACGCCGCGTTGCACATCGTTAAGGGTGTTCGGTGGATTCAATGGTCAAACGGTCAGATGGCTTGGATGCCAAAATGGGTGACACCACAGCCGACATCCGCCCACAAGCTGTCCAAATATGTTTGGTTTTTCAGCTGCTAGAGCTACTGCCAACGCACCCCTCCTACCCACCGCACCCTCCTGAGCAATCGCAAATGTGGCGATGCAATGATGAGCGAAAAATTGACATGCATGTAATTAGTGACAAGAGGGGTATACGGTCATTCTGCACCCTCTTCCTACTCCGCATCTGTTAGCACTTGATGAGCTTCATCCGCACACGCTTTCCATATGCAGCCCATGTATATATATCAATTATGCCGTTTATGTCCAAATGTCGAGAGTTCGGCCTCGCTCTTGTCCTAGCCCTCGAATCTGGTTGAAATTAATTTTTGGACACTCTTTGAATGAAATCGAAACGAATTCTGGAAGAACTAATAGTAAATTAAAGTAAAAATAATTTTTTTTAAATATTTTTTATAATAACCTTTGTTGTAAAAAGATTCGAATAAGTTTTGATTACTTTTTCTGGGCATTTTTCCAAGTCTATTCTAGAAGTCTATCCATCTATCTGTGAAATATATTCTTTTATTTTTTAGATTTTGTATAATAATGAAATTTAAATAATATAATAAACATTTCCAGGAAGTTTCCAGCACCAATGATGGTAAAGACCATTCCGATAGAGTAGGTCAGCAAATGGGATGACCAAAAAGAAAATAAAAGGAACCGAAAAAAGGAAGAGGAACCGGAACAGGAGCCTGAAGTTGGTACGAAAAATGGACCTAGATGGCCTGGCGCCTCCTCCTGTCTCGTCAGCGTCACTTGTCACATTCACGTTGACTCTTTTGACACGTCGACAAATTGTCAACAACGTTGCCACCGAAGAAACCGTAGGACCAACAAAAACTAAGAAAAATGATCCAAAAATGCCGGCCACACTGGAATGCCGCCTTCCACTGATGTGGCTCACTGGCATGTGAATGTATGGATAGGACGGCATCCCTGGCTTGGTACTGGTTTTGGGTCCTGGTGTTTCTGATGATGGTGCAACATGGAACATGGAACAGGAGAGACTCCTCTATTAGCAGGCGGCCGCTAGCATTTTCACGCTTTCGTTTTATGCGGCTCAGTGGATTTCTGTCGCACTTAACGGCATCAGTGGCAGTGACACTGGCCATCGTCCGAACCAATTCCCATTCCCTTAGTTGACCCCTACCCTAACCATCCTACCAATGACTTTCCACACATTTATCAACGCCTCGCACAGCAAAGTCCGGTTACCCGGGAAGCATTTTTGCTAAAAAATGCAATTCAGCACGATTTGCATTTTAGGAAACGGATTCAAGGGGAGTTGCCCTTCCATTATCTTTGGAAAAACTTAAAAAATCTATCAGGGGTAGATCTGATCTTAATAATATAGATCAACTTTATGGTCATAAAAAGCTGATTTTATTATCTACATTAGAGTTTTCTGAAGGGTAACTTTAATTACTGACAAAATTATTTTAAATTGAAAAGGAAAATTGTTTTTAAGTTCTTTTCTTAGTTACCCAATTGATTTTCCTTTTAGGTTTAAACCCAAAGATACGAGGAAAACCCCCATTGGTCTTTGGACATAACTCTTGGCGCTCCCCTGACCGCTTCAGACAGTTGGAATTACGGGCATTTCCGGATGCTTCGGCAAATAATTAAGACTCCGTTTTAGAGTGGAGCTCAAGCCATATTTTATCCGTGGCGATTTCGTGCCGGCACATCAATCAAAGTAAATATGTGAGTACGGGGGCGGCAATTTCCATGCGAATGTGTTTCAAGTGCCTTTCCCTCAGTTATAAATTTCCACACACACACACACACACACATCCTGGCACAAGGACATACTGGGACGTACAACGAAGGACACGGACACGGACACGGACACGGAGGCACCGAAATGCATTCCACTCACGGCAATGGGGAAAGTGTCAAGTTAATGCCAGCAGCGATATCAACAACAACAACAACATCAACAGCAGGAGCAGCAGCAGCTATAAGGACATTGCCCAACCCATCTAGCCCATTTCCATTTTCCACAACCCCCTTCACCTAATGACTGCGTTGACGGCGTCATTTGCCTGGCGAAAAGGTAAGAGGAATCACAAGCCAAAAATCAGCAAAACCCCAAAAAGAAAAACTTCTACGAAATACCCTTTAACTGAGAGGTTTTCTTTTGGGATAACAAAGTTCTTGGAAAAGGGAAAGGTTTTCAAATATTTTCTTGGATTTTTAACTAGATTTAGATGTGGTAGATACCCCAGACGGTAGTGATTATATAACTTTCTTTTTAACCAAGTCGTATATACCCTTATTACCACATCACCACACATCATGGAGGCACTTGTCTGAATGATTTGGGAAATAACAAGATGCTTCTCATCCTCACCAGATCTTGCACTGGGGAGAGAACAATTTCGCGCTGTGTAGACCAAGTTATAATGATGCCACTTGGCTGACTGCCGTTGATGTTGCCCCCTGCCTCTGCTACTACTGCTACTACTACTACTACTTCTACTACTACTACGACTGCTGTTGTTGTCGTTTAGCTGGTAAGGCGATGCCAACATTTTGGACGCTCTTTGGACGCTCAACTCTTCAGACAAGTCAAAAGGACTCGAGCTGACAATGATATGTGCCTGGCACCCGGGACTGCTGCTGGATGGTAACGCAAATGGTGGGACAAATCTCGGGAGTTTGGGAGTGTGTAGCGGAAATATTGCTGACAGTTGTGGCATATTATCATACGGCAGTGGTGTTTGTGTCCCTCCTTGCCCCCAAGTTGAGTCACCGTCTTCGTGTCCTGCCACATTAGCCGTCGCGTGCTCAGCAATTGCTCGACATTTGTCGAGCATCCCATGACAGATGCAGTTTCCAGTTTCACTGCCATTTTCCACTTCAAGACCCAAGTCGGTCGGGTCCTTTGATCTTTTCCGAAACAAATTTATTGAACCGCAAAGCTATTTATTACGATTTTTAATATGCCTGGTTTAGTTTTGATAAAAGATTGCTCTCTTTGTCGGCTTTTGTGTTGTAGTTGCGATTTTTGAGATTGAAAGAAATATTATTGATCTGGAAAAAATTTTACCAAATACGGGTATTAAAATTTGTTACTTTTAAGATTTTTAAGATAATATATCTAACATTAAAAGTGCTAAGTAGGAGTATTTAAAATATAATATAAAAGCCTAGCTTTCAATTTTGCTTTTGAGCTCTGTCAAATACGCCATCTGTTACTCGTTTATTTGTGGTTGGAAAATATGAATAAGCTTTCAGCTCAATTGTCTTTTAAAAGCTTTTTGGAAAATTCAAATAGTTGGGAAAATATTTAAAGGATATTTTAAGGAAATTATATAGAAACTGCCTAGGTTAACTCTTTTACATATATGTAATAATTTAAGTTACATTGTAAAATGTTAAGTTACATTGTAAAATGTTAACTTAAGTTAGTTGAAATATTTTATAAGCAGCTTAAATTTGTTTATAAGAAAGTTAAAAGATAAAACACTAAAGTGATCAAATTTATGAGCAAATATCAGAATTAGTTTTTAGTTACTAGTAAAGTTCTTTAAACATTATAGAGATCTTTGTAAATATCTCAAAAAGATTACCAAAACTTCGAGTAACTTACATTAAATTAAAAATCTTTTTATTGATGCTCCGCTAAGGTACATGGAAACAAGACTCGAGTAACAAGTATTTAAATATTACCTGATATCTAAAATAAAATATACAAAAAAAACATGTAATAAAAAAAGTATTTGATTAAAGGACATCTATTAAGTCTACTCCTTGGACTGTTTGTGTGGCTGAACTGTCAAGAAGATGTCGTCGGCGTTTCTAAACTTCAGCGATATGTTCTCCACGAACTGCAGCTGCTCCAGCTCAAAGTCGCTCTGGAAATTAAAGTTCGAGATCAACTTGACCAGAAACACCTTCATAATAAACAGTCCATAGCGGCGACCTATATTTATAAATAAAAAATATTTAACATTAATATTATAATCAGATTCTGTTCTTTTACCAATACACGATCGCAGTCCATTGGAAAAGGGCAGAAAGCTATAGGAGTGTCGACGATCCCGTTGCCTTCTTGGCTCACCAGCTCCTGCATTAGACTGACCCTTCGGCTCCTGGTCATGATCCAGGAACCTTTGTGGCTCAAACTCTTTAGCATTGGCGCCCCACCAACGCTCGTCGCGTTGCATATTGAAAGTGTCCAGCACTATGATGCTGTTCTGTGGCACAATGGTCTCCTTTTCCCTGCTTGACAATTGAAAATCTCGACTGACATGACGCAGATTCATTGGAACGGTGGCCAAAAGACGCAATGATTCACTAACAAAGGCGTCCAAATATCGCAACTGCTGCAGCTGCTCCAATCCCACATGACCGCTGTCAGGCACTAAGGATCTGATCTCCGCCAGCAATCGCTGCTGGCAGTCGCCCTTGTTAGTGGCCAGGCAGAGAAGAGCCAGCATAATGCTATTGGACACCGTTTCGAAGGACTAGAATGGTTAAATAAAATATTAAGTTATAAGTTTTCTATGGAACTAAAATTAGATTTAAAGTTTTCTATTGACCTAGTTTTGTTCTATAGAAAAGTTTCTAGATCTGTTTTTGTAAATCTCTAAGTGGGTTCTTAGGAAAGTTTCTTTAAGTCTTTGCACGTGTTCATTGTTCTACATAATACGAGTACCTTTAACCAATCACAAAGTAAACACAAACAACATCTGCACTGCAATATGTGTTATTGTCTTTAGACTTTTGACGATTGGGGTTTTGGCAAATAGTGCCAATTATATAGTACGCGGGTTGCTAACAAACATAGATTCTAACCGTGAGTCGATCTAAACAGAGAAATTAAATATAAACAATGGCGTTAGGCGTCTCTATGGATTGATATTTGCTTTTGGCAAACAACGTCAATAATGGATGCTGTTGCCTGGATTAGACACTTTTTTTTGGGCCTATATAAACGCGATTGAAACTTTGTCAAAGGCACAGTTCTACGATCTGAGTATTCCATTCCACCACTACAAGATGCGATTCTTTGGCTTGTTGATCCTTTCCTGCCTTTTGGCTGTGGCCTATAGCAGCACGAATGCAACAGCAACCACAACAACAACCACTGAGGCTTCCACGACCTCTACAACCACGGAGGCCACCAAGAAAGTGGAACACATTACCCATTGGAAACATGTTGTCAACAGGCCCAACAGGAAAACGATAACCAAGAGGCACAGGGACAATGACGACAAGAGTGAAAAGCGTTCCCGTCGCAGGGGCTAAATAGGACAAACCCTTTCAACTTGAAACCGACCAACCGATCTGAATACGCTTCTTTTTTTTTTGACTATATAACCGCTTAATCTATTAATAATATCATAAATATCGATATTTATATGTAATAAATAAATTTAAATGCTTATTTGAAAATCGTTTTACATTTCCTACAAACTTACCACCAGAACCATGGACTGTGCCTCGTGCATGATCTCCTCGAGGGTCATCTCCCCGTTGGCGGCCAGCTGGAAGATCTGTTCAATGAAGATGCGTCTCTGCCAGCCGGATGAGGACTCCTCGCCATTCTTTTCACCACTAACTGCGTCTCTTAGCCTCCAGTTGCGATGCTTTGTTCTTACAATTTCGCCTACAAAATCCGCCAACAACTTTGTACATTTTCTGGACTCCTCGTAAAGTTCCGGGGCCAAAAAACGATGCAAGAGACGAATCTGTAGCCATGGTTTTACCACACGAATGGCTGAGATTTCCAGAAGTCTGTTTTGGAATTGGATAAGGGGATTGAGTTGTGGATCATTAAGAAGGAGGAAACAGGTATCTCCACTCACCGCTTGTAACTGTGGGCAATGTGCGCATCATCGATTTGGGTGAAATTGGTTGGAGTGCCCATAATGGTTACTGTAAGTAAAAAAAGTTAAGCATAAATCGTTTAAATAATATAAATGTTAAGTTAATCTTTAAATACAAACATTCCTTTTCTATATATATCACTCTCCATCTGATCAACAAACTACCTTTCCGATCAAACTCTCATAATTTAATGTCAATATTTTGATTTCTATTTGTGGATGGAATTCAACGGGGATCGGGTTTGGATATATTTGAGGATGGTTGGCGGGGTTCCGCATACGTGAGGCGCATGGAAACGGAGGGAACGTGTCGCCCCTCGAAGGGAAGTGAATGCAATTATCTATTATTATTATTATTTATTTCGCAACGGAAACTACAGATGGCGGTCAACTGCAATCGTTGATGATCGTTTGTATGTCCATGGCTGGCATTTCGATCATTTTACAACATATTTAGTAATTTAATTACTTTCTGATCATAATTTTTAAGCAGTTTTATAGTTGTTATATCTATAAGTATAGATTTTATTCTTAAAAACTGTTCAAAATAAAAAGTATTCTCTATAAAACCCTTTATAATACTTACAACAGGAAACCTCCAAGACAGCTCTACTCAACAAGTCCTCAGCATCCGTAAACTTGACGTTCTTTCCATGAAGATTTGACTGCGATAGAAACTGTTCGATGATTTGGTTGCCCACCGAGTTGAAGACATCAAAGAAACTGGCCACAATATTATGACTAAAAGCTGGGTTAAGTTGTTTTCTACGCAATTTCCATTGCTGTCCTTTAATTAGATTTTCGTAATTAAAAATTTGTTTCTTTGTTTTTTTTGGGTCTTACCTCTAGCATGTAACAATCCGCGACGAGCAAAGAAGCCATTTTGCAGGAAGGTCTTATCCAGACACTCAGGGGCATTAAGAACACACTCCATGCCGGCAGGATCATCGATATAAACAAGTACTCGGGTACCCAAAATTATGGCAATCGGACGCTGAAAGTACACTCGATACTGGGTAACCTTCTCCAAAATGCCTGCAAATTGTTAAAGTTTTAAATATTTTTCTTTTCCTTTTTTTTTTTTTGTTTAGGATTCTCACTGTTTGGATGCAGATTGATACAAAGTAGAAACCATAAGACTGGCTGCTGGACAACTCCACGCCATCCGTTCAACTGCCAGATTAGCCGCCAGCATTTGCGCTGCTGCCAGGTGAGTAGCACCGCGAGAAGGGCGCCACATGCCCAAAGGGCCACGCTGAGGTGCATCACCACAAACGCTATCGATTCCGCTTTTTATGGCCTAATGTGGTGCTTTGTAGGCAGCTCGCTTGTCTTTTTTGTTTTTGTTTCTAACGCTGCTTTGGATATTTTCTCCTTGGACGTGGCTAAGTGTCTCTGATAAAGGTGGCTTAAACTCAGCTAAAACGAACCGCTCGGTTGGGCCAACGGTTGACAACTGCCAAAATGTACGACACACAATTATTGGCAACACACCGCTGTCTCTATATGACAAAATGGTATTATTAATTGCCCAGTGGGGGACAGTGGGAAGCATAATAGGTCAGGTGCTGTTAATCCTCTTCATCAGCGATTCGTTTTGACCCTAAAAATGAGTGCAGGTTAAGATTATAAGACTTTTCTCACATTTTTCTAAACTAATTATGCTTTAAACATTGTTTAAAGTAATTCAGATATAATATAAAACAAAAAATGTAAATATTAATACATCAACTAATTAATAATCTTAGGCGCAACCCCTCAAAACTTGTTAAATACTTAAAAGTTATAAAGAAAGGTTCTGAATTATCTACAAAAGATCAAATGAAATGGAATATTCCTCTGCTACTTGGCGATATTGCATCTTAATTGACGAAATCAAAGTTCAAACGACTGCATTTTGTTTGCAGATTAGATATAGCTGGTAGATCGGTGGAAAAAAAGTCTGATCGTTAGCGTTCAATAATCCGCATAAACCAGCGGCACAATAAAGCAAGTGCATATATATATATAATATACTGTAGTATGTCTGAATGAAATCCGATAATCTTATCTAACCAGGCCTCTGTTAGCGTTAACAGTTCGTTGATCTGTTAGTGGAACAAGTAATTGTAACCCTTATAAGGCAAAATGGGTTGTTAGGTACTAAAACTAATATGTATTATTTGATTAGGTATGAGATATATTGATATATGAATATATATCTATCATAGAAATACTGCTATAAACTATAATAATTAGGGTTCTATAAATTTAATTGAGTTCTTTTTTAATTTTAAGTTATATTCACTTGAATTTTTATACTTTTACCAACTAATTTGATTATTACAAAAATTTATAGCAAAGAAGGCTTTCTAATTATTAGGCAAATACCATTTGAAGTACTGAAAACATTTAAGTATCAATTTCATTACCCAAATTTCCATGGTAATATTTATAATAATATAATAACAGCTACATCTAAAACCTTATATTATATTGTACTTTTTAGAGGGTTAACGATATACAAACCCTCTACAGATTAGCTGCCAATCAGGTTTAATTTAGCTAACGATTCAGTCCGATCGAAGCGCTGAAGAAGAACACTTCTATTCAATTTTCTAAGCGATATGGCGCTCTGGCCGCTGCTTTTGATCACTTTTGCCATATGGATTCTGATCCGCAAATGGTCACTCCTGCGTTTGGGAACTAGTCTGCCTGGTCCTTGGGCATTTCCACTACTGGGCAACGCCCAAATGGTGGGTAAACTAAAACCAGAATGTGAGTAGTTTAAGCAGTAGATCAAATCATTTATCACCCACCTGTCTTTAGTTATCTTTCTCGTTTTCACAGAGCTGCGAGATCGTTTTGGTAGCACTTATCGCCTCTGGTTGGGTCCTCAGCTTTGGGTATTTCTTCATACGGCGGAGGAGACGCGACAGGCTCTTCATGATCCAACGCTCCGGAAGGCGGAGACCTTTCTTCAGTTGGAACCGCTAATAGGAAACGGACTGCTCATCAGTCATGGGGCTCATTGGACCAGGCAGCGTCGACTGTTAACTCCCGCCTTTCAGCCGCAATTGTTGCGCAGTTTTGCTCCCAATATAGCTGGACATGTGGATCGCTTGGTTAACCGTCTTGCAGCCACAAAAGGAGACTTTCTGGAGGTCACCGATCCACTATTTGCCTGCCTGCTAGATGCCATTGTGGGTGAGTTCGAAAACTGTAATCACAATTTGAGAAAAGTTTCAATTGGCATTGCCTTTCTTATTGCAGACACCTCAATGGGTGCCCAATTGGACACACAGCTTGAGGATCACTCACCCATCATCAATGCATTCCATCTCAGCAGTAAATTCCTATTTAAACGCATGATTAATCCGCTTCTGGCATCTGATTGGATCTTTCAACGCACTCAACTTTGGCAAGATCTTAACGAGCAACTCCAGGTGATTCACACCCTTATGGAGTCGGTGATCGAGCAGCGCGCCAATGAGCTGGAGAAGAAGGCGGAGACTCCAGGAAAAGCCAACAATCTTCTGGATACACTCCTATTGGCCAGGTTTGAGGGTCAACCACTGAGTAGGAAGGAAATTCGTGACGAAGTCAATACGTTTGTCTTTGCGGTGCGTCGGTGGATTGTGAATTACATTTTTTTTTGAATATAAATAGAATTAGTTAATTTCAGGGAGTGGATACCACGACGGCATCCATGTCGTTTGTAATTTATGCATTGGCCAAATATCCAGAAGCACAAACCCGCCTTCGGAAGGAGCTGCAGGAGCTAACGGTGGATAGATTCTCTGACTTGGATGCCCTTAATGAACTGCCCTATCTGGAAGCTCTGGTCAAGGAGGTACTGCGGCTGTATACCATTGTGCCAACCACTGGACGACAGACAACGCGTTCAACGGAGATTGGTGGACGTACCTATTGTGCCGGCGTTACATTGTGGATCAATATGTACGGTCTGGCGCACGATAAGCTATACTATCCAGATCCTTATACCTTCAAGCCGGAACGCTGGTTGGAGGGTGAAGACACTGCCCCACCTACCTTTAGCTATATTCCATTTTCCGGTGGGCCACATGTCTGCATAGGAAGACGGTACTCCCTGCTCCTAATGAAGCTGTTGACCGCTCGTCTTGTTATGGAATTCGATTTAAAACTGAGTCCAGATCAAGCTCCTCTCAAGCTGCAGGCCCAAATGGTGTTAAAAGCCCAACAGGGCATACATGTATCATTTCTTAAAAGATAAAAAACACTTTTAAATAAAACGTTGCCGAGATCGTTGAACGAGATCGTCCCTTTACATATTTCTTATTTTATTCTGACTTTAAATAACACGACGAAAATTTATCAACTTTTCCCGTTAAATACATTTAAAAAAAATACAACTTTTGATCCAAAACAGTTAAGAAGATAGTGTGACCATAGCCAAAATGTTTGAAAGAGGCGCGCTTACTGGAAAAATGGCTAACCTAGCCAAAATCTAGCTATATTTAGCTTATTACCGACGCCCGCATATACTATCGATAACGTGACGCAGCGTTGCTGGCGCCGATAACATGTGCTGCCGCTATCGTTTCGTTTTTGACAGCTGCACGAGCTGCGCGCTGCATGTGTATGTGTGTGTGCGAAAATATTAATTGATACCTTGTCGATGCGATGCAGTGCCGTGTGAAATACATCGGAGCTGTTTGTTTTTAAAATTCAAACTATTTAACACTTGAGACAAAATTTGTGTTTCGGCGTTACTTGATTTGCTAGGCTACCCAAAAAAAAGCGACGTGCAACGCACACCACAAAACACACACACAGCCATAGAAAAAACGCACACACACCTATGCAAGTGTATTTGTAATTTCGTACACTTAAGAAACGGAAAGAAAGCAAGCGAACACACGCATACGGCGAAAAAAATACGAAAAGAACACAATTTTTTCGCAAAAGAGTTTCGGTTTCGGTACGGTGTTCGATTTTCGGTTTGTTACATATACTCCGTGTGATCCAACCTTGCCGCCCATCGCCCACAATATCCTCCACCCAGCACCACCCTCATTTGTTTTTTGTAAATCGGGAGTTTTCGGAGAGCGAGCGGTCCGAAAAATACATTTATTTTTATTTACTGATGACAGCAAGCACACGGATAAGTAAGGTAAGCTTTATCCAAAAAAAAAAAAAATGTATACATGTATGTATGGACGAAAAAAAAAAAGTGCATGTGCTTGTGCGTGTGGGAAGAAGCGGCGACGCATTTAAAGCTGCTACTGCTGCTTCTTCTGCCGCTGGCCGCAACAAATTGCATAAAACAACAACAAATAAAAAAAAAAAACTTTTCATCCAGTCATTGTGCAAGAAAATGCCTGCACATTATTTATGCATGTGTGTATGTATGTTTATCACATGCGTATGAGTTTGCTGTTTAGATTTGTTAATTTTATTATTCTTTTTTTTTTTTTACAGATTTGTTTTCTACACAGCTATACGAAATTGATCGAAAGAAAGAGAGAGAGAGAGAGATAGAGAGGAAACGCCGCATAGCGGCTGGAAGGGTGACCGAGCAATCCAGTGATCCAGTTAACAAAATCCAGTGAGTCCTCATCCTCCAAACGATACCCAATAACCGACATCACCACCAACCACCACCACCGATCCGATCCTATACCGATCCTCCACGGAGGAGCTGCCGAATTCAGCACCATTCAAGTGCCGACTAAAATGGAAATAGAAACAGACCAGTCTATTGAAGCAATGGACACCCAGGACACTCAAGAGGTCGAGATCCTCACCAGCGACCTCCAGCAGCAGCAACAACAACAACAGACACAACAGAATTCGCCACCTCAATTGCCCAAATTCAAGAATCTTATCCAGCCACAATTGCACGCCGTGGGTGCAGTTACCCAATTGCCCAGCGAGAATGGCAATGTGCCTCCACAACAGCTTTTGGCAGACAGTAGCTCCACATCATTTGCCCCCGACGCCGAGGCCATGGGCATAGACGATGATTCTAAGGAGGATCAATTCCGTTCGGAGACCACATTTTCCTATACCGTCGAGAATGTGGGTCAACTTAAATCGCAGAGACTATCGCCTCCAGTTTATGTACGCATGTTACCATGGAAGATCATGGTCATACCCAATGATCGAGCGCTGGGCTTCTTCCTTCAGTGCAACGGTGAAAATGATTCACCCAATTGGTCGTGCAACGCCATTGCTGAACTGCGTTTAAAATGCCACAAGCCGGATGCACCGCCCTTCACCAGAGCCCGCATTAAGCATTTGTTCTACTCGAAAGAGAACGACTATGGGTACTCGAACTTTATCACCTGGCTAGAGCTGCAGGATGCCGAGAAGAGCTATGTCCACAACAATAGCATAACTCTGGAGGTTCACGTTATAGCGGATGCACCACATGGTGTTTTGTGGGACTCCAAGAAGCACACCGGCTATGTTGGTCTTAAGAATCAGGGAGCAACCTGCTATATGAACTCTCTGCTGCAGACATTGTATTTTACCAACTCATTGAGATTGTCTGTTTACCGCATACCCACAGAGGCTGATGATAGTACCAAATCGGTGGGATTATCTCTGCAGCGGGTGTTCCACGAACTGCAATTTGGTGACCGTCCCGTGGGTACCAAGAAGCTTACCAAATCCTTTGGCTGGGAGACACTTGATTCGTTCATGCAACACGATGTTCAGGAATTCCTTCGCGTTCTGCTTGATAAGCTGGAATCAAAGATGAAGGGCACCACCCTGGAGGGTACCATACCGGGTCTTTTTGAGGGCAAAATGTCATCATACATCAAATGCAAGAACGTCGACTACAACAGCACACGCTACGAAACATTCTACGACATTCAGCTGAATATCAAGGACAAGAAGAACATCTACGAGTCCTTCCAAGATTACGTTGCCTCCGAGACACTTGAGGGCGACAACAAATACGATGCTGGTGTACACGGTCTACAGGTAATTAACTTTTATTTGAATTATATCTTTGTGAAATCAATTAATTCTTACAAAAATATAAATTCCGCTTTATTAGGAGGCCAGTAAGGGTGTTATTTTCACTTCATTCCCGCCCGTTTTGCATCTGCACTTGATGCGCTTCCAGTATGATCCAATCACAGATAGCTCGATTAAGTACAACGATCGCTTCGAGTTCTATGAGAAGATTAACCTGGATAACTATCTGGCCGAAAGCGAGAAGACCCCAGCGGACTACGTCCTGCACGCAGTGCTGGTTCACTCTGGCGATAATCACGGTGGTCACTATGTGGTCTTCATCAATCCAAAGGCTGATGGACGCTGGTTTAAGTTCGATGATGATGTGGTCTCCAGTTGCCGCAAGCAGGAGGCAATCGAACAGAACTATGGCGGCATGGATGACGAGATCTCATTCCATGCCAAATGCAGCAACGCCTATATGTTGGTGTACATCCGCGAATCGGAGCTGGAACGTGTCCTCAGCGATATACCAGAGAGCGAGATCTCCAGTGATCTGGTGGAACGACTCGATTTAGAGAAACGTATCGAGATGGCGCGCCGTAAGGAGCGCAGCGAGGCCAATCTCTATGTGTCGGTGCACGTGATCCTTGAGGAGTCTTTCGAGGATCAGCATAAGCGTCGTCTCTTTGATCTGGAAAAGGCCCATCCGCGGATCTTTAGGATCAAGCAGAATCAGACAGTCGACGAGCTGGTTGATATGTTTGTCAAGGGTTTCGGCGTGTCGCGCGAACGCATGCGGATCTGGAACATGTGCACCGCTCAGACGCAGAAGTTCTTACACTTTGACTTCGAAGCGGAGGCGTCACGCACTATCGAACAGATCCCGACGTCACAGAAACCTTGGGTTATTTGGCTGGAACTGGCCTGTCCCCACAATCTTGGTCCCCTGCCGTCCTTTAATCCAAAAACGGAAGTCCTACTGTTCCTTAAGTACTATGATCCGCGAAACAAGCGGCTGAACTACATTGGTTGCACTCAGCAGCCACATAGCCGCCGGTTAATTGAACTGGTACCGGAGGTCAATCAGAAACTGGGCTTTGAACCGGACACTGAGCTGACTATTTATGACGAGTACGCTGATAAAAAGCTGGCCAATCTAAACGAGCCCATTGAGAGCGTGCTATTCATACCACAGGACAATCTGCAGGGACACATACTTATTTTCGAGCGCGAGTGCGTGGACGCCAAGCTGGACCTGGCTACGGTAGAGGATTACTTCCTTGATCTGGTCTACCGCATCGAGATCATATTCAGCGACAAATGCAACCCTAATGAGCCGGACTTTACGCTGGAGCTGTCCAATCGCTACAACTACGAGCAGCTTACCAATGCGGTGGCCGAACGCTTGAACACCGATCCCCAGAAGCTGCAGTTCTTTATGTGTATTAACAACTACAAGGAGACGGCGGGCAATGCTGTGCCCTACACATTTAAGGTGAGTCGAGGGGAAATCTACGACTATACAAGACTAGAGCAGGAGTCCAAAAAGATTTTAAGTTAAAATTTGCCATTTAATTAATAAATTCACTTGGTTACTTTCCATTCTAAACCAGTTTGAGTCCATAACAAAAACTTAACCAAAATTTAAACCGGTTTTGCAAAATTTAAAAAAAGAGGTAGAATTTTAGTTTCAATTTTTGACTACAACATACCATTCCTTATTTTGCAGGGCACCATCAAGGACCTGGTATCCTACACCAATAAAAGTACACCGAAGCGAATTTTCTACCAGCGCCTATCCCTTAGCATCCATGAGCTGGATAACAAGAAGCAATTCAAATGCGTCTGGGTGAGCAGCGATCTCAAGGATGAAAAGGAGCTGGTCCTGTACCCGAACAAGAACGATACTGTGAAAGGTCTGCTGGAGGAGGCCGCGAAGAAGATCACGTTTGCGGAAAATAGCCGCCGCAAGCTGCGTCTAATGAAGGTGAGCAACCATAAAATCGTGGCAATCTGCAAGGATGATATACCGCTGGATACGCTTATGAAGAGCAACGAATCGCTCACGACCACACAGAGCGCTCAAAAGACTTATCGCATCGAGGAGGTGCCGGCGGAGGAGATGCAGCTGGCAGAGAACGAGTTCCTCATCCCAGTGGCCCATTATAGCAAGGAGCTGTACAATTCGTTTGGCGTACCCTTCCTAACCAAAGCGCGCCACGGCGAACCGTATGGTGCCCTAAAGCAACGCATCCAACGGCGTCTCAATGTGACGGACAAGGAGTGGGAGAATTACAAATTCGCTGTAGTCACCATGGGCCCCAATACGGATGTCAACGACAATACGCCCGTTGACCTGGAGGTGTATCGTTCGTGGACTTCCGGCCAGTTACCCTTCTTTGGTTTGGATCACATCAACAAATCCCGCAAGCGCAGCTCTCTTAACTTTTCCGAGAAGGCCATCAAGATATACAACTAAAGGGTTTTTGGAGCAGTCTATAAACTGGATAAAGGAGCTGGAGCTGGAGCAGCAGTAGGAGCAGAAGCCAGGGTAAAAGCAAAGGAGCAAGTCGGTTTTTTTTTTTTTTGTTTTTGGGGAGGGGGGGTTAATGAATTAAGTATTGTCAAATGGAACGATGGCAAGGAATGGAATGTAATGGCTGGCTGGCGTCCTAAGTCCTCCAAAATTGCAACTAGTGAAGCAGCTCGATGTCGCATTTTGAAGGCTTCTTCCTTAAAACACACACATATATACACACACACACACACACACACTCGCACTCAAAACTTACCCCTTTTGCTTTAAATATAAAAACTTTATTTTTTGTAAGTCAACTATACTTATTTATTAACCCCCTCTACGCGCCGGCGATGATGGCATCGTTGCAATGTTTGGCCAAAAGCACACCACCATTGCCATCTTCCTGATAACTTTTAACTTGATGACATTTCCGTTTCCGCTTGATGATTACAATCCTGGCCAGAGTCGTCGTCCAGTCCGCCTCCCATAATTCTACTGACTTGTTGCTTGAAAGCAAAAGTCAAGTGACTTCAATTTAGGCTTAGGCTTTTACGTGTGTGTGTATTTTCTATGATATAATATATATATATATTCTTAATCGATAATTGTTTAATCGCAGGCAGAAAGAAGTGAATTCGAAGCGAAGCGAATCAGTTACTTTTTTGTCTTAATGTAAATAAGCGTTCGTTGCAAGTTGCCCATTAAAAAAAAAAAAAAAAAAACAAACAAACAAAAAACAAAACATATATGTAACAAAGAGGAAGCGAAACTAAAGGAAAGCAAAGGAAGAACCGAAACTAAAATATAAAACAAACAAACAAAAGATACATAATATATATAAATAAATATACGAAAAGAGAGAGAGAGAGAGCGAGAGCTGTAAACAACAAAAGAAAATGCAACTATGTAACAAGTATAACTTTAAACAAAACAAAAAACAATTAACAAAAGAGTCATGAAGTTGCGCTAAATGAGACAAAGAAAGAGATATAGTTGATATAATCGAGCAGCAGATCGAAAGAGAACGAGACAGAGAGCTAAGAAGATGGAAAATATAAGATTTGTTTCAAACAATTATTTGTGATTTTTAAGCATGAAATGATAAAAAATGTATGCAAATGACTAGACAACATAATATTAATTAATAAATTACTATAATACACAGTTTAGTGCTTTTTCTTTTGTTAATTAAAGCGAAGGATCCAAGTTTCGATTGAAAAAAAAAAAACAAAAAACGAAAAACAAACCAATCAAATGAGAAGAGCCCACAACAAAAAAATATTTTAATAATATATTACTATGCTATTATTATTTATGCAGCAAATAATTCAAATTATTTATGTGTACAAAACAAAAACAACAAAAAAGAAACAAACAAAAAACGAATAAAATACCAAGAATTTAAATGAAATTTCGTTTCCTTTTTTTTTTTTTTTTTTTTTTGGGCGCAGAACGTTAAAGTTTTGTTTTAAATTGAAATTATTTTAAAATGGAAAGAATCTTTATGTTAGTTGTATTGATTTAGAAGCTGTTTTTATATTTCTTTGTCTTTAAAGTGTCATTAAATATCCATTCATGCATCATTATTGATAATTTTCAGAATATTTTTGGGTGTTGCCAATGGTGGGCTTTGATCTTTCTTGTAAAGATATGAAGTTCCAGTTCTTAATGAACCTTGAAAAGTATTTAACCCCTCTATGATGAATGTATTTTAATCAGCGGGGCAATCTTCTTCTTAATGATTCAAATAAAAGTATCATCCATCAATTTTAGTGTGTTTAAAAAAGTTTCTTTTACTGAAATCATTTGGAAAAATCTTGTCTTACTTAGCTTACTTAATTAGGACTCTTAGAACTTGCGACGCTTAAGTAGCTCGGGCCGCCAGTTAACCGGATGTGACTCTTCGCTGGCCTCGTCGTCCTCCTTATACACCTTGATAGTCTTGTCAGCCTCGGCAGTGATTAGCCTCGTACCCGACTGGTCGAAGCACATGGCGAATATACCCGCTTCGCTGTCCATGGAGCCTGGTTGGACTGGTGCTTGAAAGCGTTGGAAATTATAGCCGGTACGCCAGTCCCAGAAGAACATGGTACCATTGTCGCCACCAGAAACGAGCACGCCATCATTGTTGGCCGCCATGCAATTGACAATGGCCGTGTGACCGGAGATGTTTTGTACAAAGTTACCCTCCGGACAACGCCACTGCTTGATATTGTCCGGCGAGGCGGAAGCGAACATGTACAACGACGGATGCAAGACAATACTGCGTACAGACTTCTTATGGTTGGTCAACGTACAGACGCTTTTGCCGGCAGCGAGATCCCACAGACGCACTGTCGAATCATGGGAGCCGGTAATGATCTGCGGATTCGTTGCCTGGGCCACTACACTGGCCACCGTATTCGTGTGGCCCGTCAATGTGTGCACATTCGCCTTGGTCCTCATGTCCCAGATGCGAGCAGTCGAGTCACGACCCGAGGTGGCTAGCACATCTATGGTGGGATGCAGAGCCAGGGAGTAAACAGCAGATAAATGACCGTGATAGTGTCGAATGACCTTATTGTATTCCAGATCCCAGCACTTGACTTGCCGATCTTCACCGCAGCTGAATAGATATGGATGTTTTGAACTAACGGCCACCCCGCGTACTGTGCTCACGTGGCCGGTAAGCGATAGCTTCAGTTTACCGCTGGCCAAGTCCCAGATCTTGATCACCCGATCTCCGGCACCAGTGGCGAACCACTCATTGCCCGGCTCCACTGCGATACAGCGCACCCAACCTAAATGGCCAGAGATGACGCGAGATAGCTTCCAGGGTGCATGCCACTTGGGTTTTGGTATGGTAGGTGCCTTCTTGGGTATCAATTGTAGATTGCTGGCGGTGCCATTGGCGGCGTTGTCGCCATTATTGGCTAAGGAAGCGCGAACCAAAGATGTTTGATTGCCAGTGACTAGAGGCGCTGTCTTCTCTGTCGCCCTGCCTCCGGGATTGTACTTAACAACGCTTCCTGCACTAGCGGAGTCCGCAGTGCCATCTGTGATTGCCAGTGGTTTGTCGCCCGGCGTCTGGGCACCAGATGCCTTCCTAGCCTCGCCGATCTTGATTGCCTTATCCAGAACCAGGCCATAACTATCCTTAGCCTTGATGGACCGGCGCAGCTTTTCCCTGTCTCGAGAAATGCAGGAATAAGTTACCAGAATTTGGCTCACAATCCTAAATACTCACAGGCCGTCGTCGATTTCCGGCAAATTTCCCTGGTTCGATACGAACAAATCGTGGGTGCGCTTCAGGGAACGGAATATCAGCGTATGCACGCTGTGCTTCTGCACATCTTCCATAGCAATTGAATGTTATTTATTATTTATTTTACTTACTAAAAAGAGATTAAAAAATGCGGCTTTTTCAGCTGGCCACAAAAACAGCCATTCACAATGGCCGGACTATCGGTTATCGAAATTCGCTATATGCGAACAGTGCTGTCATCTAGTCTTTCATAAGCCAAACGTTAACGTAAAAATCTAGCTCCTTTATAGCCAGCCAGCTTTTTTAAATTGTTTTTAAAGGATTTACTTGATTTTCAATCTATTATATACCCAAAAACACATTTAAATTCTTTCTAAATGTGTATATAATCTAAATGAACCACTGACATTGATGAGTTGGAGCCCCCAAAGAAATTTATCTATAAATATTCGCCCTTAACCCACTGAAGGATAAAAACATATGGAATGTCCTTTTTGAAGCACATTTGTGTTTTTTGTTATTGTTTTTGTGTTGTTTTGTTTGTGTTTTTTTTTTTGTTTTGTTTATCTCTTTATTATTAGTTTGCGGGAACCGGCGATCCAGATGCTAGAGATGAGGACGTGGGAGACACCGAGGGTGACGAGGTGCTAGCCGCAGCTCCGCTTTCTGGAACCGGTGATGGCCGTGTGTTGAAGAACTGTTTGATCTAAAGATATAAAAATGTAGGAAATTAGCTATTATCTCTTAAGAACTGTCATAAATGATCATATTACGGATGCTAACTATTTTAACCACAACTACACGTCCTTATCAGCATGAAAGGAACAATTAGTTTCCTAATATTATTTTGTTATTTTAACCTAAACCGCAATATTTATTGCTTTTTTTAAATGTCCAAAGTCATCGATAAAGCTTTTTGAAAATAGCTTTTATATGAATAATTTTTAAACATTAAAAATCTAGAAAGTTCTCAAGAAAAGTCTAATTAGAAATGGTTGTCTATTTTTACATTTAGGGTTTAAAATATTCTGTAAATCTTCAATATCTAATTCCCAAAATGACTAATATATTAAGTTTTAAAGATATACTATAGAAACATGCTTCAAAATTAACTAAATCTTCACCTATACATGGTTTTCTTGTCCACTGCTTATCTTTATAGATACTTGATAAACGGATTTGTAATTTCAACTATTATTTAACCCATTTGGTTATGTGGTTGAGTAGTTTTTGATAGTAACATTAACTTACGATGCGCTTAATGTAGTTGCATGAAGTTTCGTTGTTCGAGCTGGATACCACGTTGTCCACTTGGTACGGCGGCGAGATGGTGACTTCATTTAGTATTTGTATGTTGAGTCCTTGCCAGGAGACTTCATTGTACTATCAAACAAAGAAAATCGAGTTAAAGGGATGTATAAGTGGTAATATTTAGAAGCGTATTACTCCGTATTGTTTGGCTATCGCTCTATAAAGCTCCTGTGCCTCTGGACTGACATCCGCGTTCTTGGACTTCAAGTAGTCCTGCCTTCGCTCTACTGTTTTCCGCAGTCGCATTTTCACCTGTGTCGTGTAAGAAGAGTTAGTTGTGTGCGAAAATGTAGTATTCATGAGCAAGAAGGCTAAATCTTACCTGTTCTAGGTTAAGCTTTTGCGGATCGTCAAAGTTTCCATTGCACTCCTTGACCACCTGAACGTTGCTGCACAGCGAGAGGTTCAAAGCATATATATCACTTAGCTCCTCTGAGGTCTTGGATCGGCATTCTATATGGCAGAAAAAAAAGGGGGAAGGCAGAGATACTCGATGTACGGAGAACCAAGGAGGCACTTGAGATTGATAAGAGTAAGTACAAATACTATGGATAAAAGATAACTTTATCATGTTTTGGTATGAATATGAGTTGGCGGTGATCGAATTTTGGATAGTTATAAGGATAATTGATAACAAATTTAACAATTAGGAAGATAAAAGAGTAATTAGTCGAAATACTATGAATTGGTGAAATTGATCTATATACGTTATATAAACTCAGGGAAAGTGTCCACTTTCACCCGGTTGGCAGGTTTGTGGTGTTAATGTTTTTGTGTAATTTTCTTTCTTTGCAAAAGGATACTCAGGATAAGCATCTTTGTGTTGTGATCGAAGGCAAGTACTTCTCCCTCTACATCGTCGTTGAAACAGGTCGTGCAGACGACTGTGGATCCAATGCTGAAGCAGTCGTTCACTGCATTCACTGCGCTCGCAGCGGCAGCGGCCATTTTTAATTGCTGGTTAAGATTGGCCAACTGGAAAAGTGCACCCACAAGCTATGTGGATATAAGTGTTCTTGATGTGGATGTGTCTTTTGGACCTGTATGCTGACTTGGATTTGGATGCTGTAGGTTTTACCGCTTGTTTACACAACGTTGCACAAAACAAAGACGAAGCAAATTAAGAAGTAGCTGCTTTTCCAGGGATTTTCGATTTCTGGAAAGGATTTCTCTTGCTATATCACTCTCTCGCTTTCCTTGTCCTTGTCTGTCTATCTCTGTCGCTCTCTCGCTTTCACTTGAACCGCTCCAATGCAAATGTCGCTTCCTGGCGATCTGGTCGAGATCCTGCTTCTGCTCCTGCGACTTATGCACTTAACTTGGCCAAAAACTCAATCAATATTCGTTTAAATGGCCGACGACGGTTTGTGTTGGCGCTTTTTGCGGTTCGGTTATTGAAGAGTTGGAAAAATATGCGAAAAATTTATTGGTCAACACACGAAACAACAGCCAAAAGGGGGCAGCAGAAACGCAGTGTTGCACATGCCGCGCAGCGATAGATTTGTTTTTAATCGATTTACGGCGTCTGGCAACCCGTTGATTAAATATTCACCACAGCTAGAACGTATCTACTTTTAATTTGAATAATATTTCAATGGTAAATAGTAACTTTCTAATTGAATAATTTTTCAATGGTAAACAGTAAAGAAATATATGTTTACATTGTGTTAATAATTATTTGGTATAAAAATGATATAATAATGTTATTCTAAGCTGTTCTAAGTTTTATCGTGAAAAGATTTAGTAGTTAAGTTAAGAAAATTTCATAACAATTTATTTTTATATATAGTTCAGTTTTACAGAACAAGAATTTATTTCTAAAAGCGATTTTTTAAATATTCGATAACAAAGTTTTAAAGTTTCGCATTAAAAAAGGTTTTGTGTGACCAACTGCAAGCACTGAGGTTTCTTGTTCAGTATTGGGCGGGCACCTTAGTACCGGCTTGTTTTCGATAAGCTTTGATATTATCGATAGCACTTACTTATCAGTTAAAACCCAAGCAAACCTAAAGGAAACAAACTAAATGGGTGAACCCAAGATGCAGCCACCGGGCGTACGTGTGCCCAATGCCGAGACCTTCCTGCCCCTCAGCCGTGTGCGCACTATCATGAAGAGTTCTATGGACACGGGTCTGATTACCAACGAGGTGCTTTTCCTTATGACCAAGTGTACAGAACTGTTCGTCCGGCATTTGGCGGGCTCAGCGTATGCGGACTCATTTCGCCAACAAACCGGTGAAACTCTGAAATACGAGCATCTTTCGCAGTTAGTTAACAAGAGCAAGAATCTCGAGTTTCTGCTTCAGATTGTGCCGGAGAAGATTCGTGTTCACGAGTTCCAGGAGATGTTGCGATTAAATCGATCCGCCGGCAGTGACGATGACGATTCCGAATCCGGATCCGAGTCGGATGAGTGATTGCACAAGCGCTTCTACATCTCCACATGGAACTAAACGCCCCCCCGACTGATTTTAACTCCCCCGCTATCATTTTATTTTAAACTAGACGATAAGTAAACGATTGTGTATTTTACCCTGATTAATAAAAAAACAGCATAAGAACATTCCGATTTATCAAGAAGCATAAGACCCTTGTGTCCTCTAAATAACCACCAGATGGTCGAATGATTACACAGTGTCTGCGTCTGATAAGACCAGGCATTGTCCATAAATTGCTGACAAATTGCTAGATAGAGGTTAGCCTAGAGAAAAAGTTCACTTAGCTGGCAAAAAAAAATCCCAAAAGATTTTAGATAGAAAAAGACAATATTTAAAAAATGTAAATAGTATAACATATAATTGCACTTGGATTCGATTGGTACATTATACTGTCTACTAAGCTTAGAGATTGCAGATCCTAGACCTTCAAGTTGACGCCAGGGAAACCAGTGGCATTCAGGCCAGTCACCTTGTAAGTGGTGCCAGCTGGAGTGGGCTGATCGAACTTGGCGGCAGTGGTCACGTACAAGATGTCCAAGTTGGGACCACCAAAGGCGGCTGAGGTGATTTGTTTGGTGGGGAACTTGATCTCCAGGAGGATCTTGCCAGTGCTGAAATCGATCAATTTTGATAGAAGTTAGAGATAAATCGGAAAGATTGCCTATAATAATCACACTTACTTGGGATTAACCTTAAAGATGGTGGCTCCATTGAAGGTGGCCACGTACAGGTTACCCTCAGTATCGATGGTCAGACCATCGGGCAGGAGATGATCCTTGGGACTGTTCTTGCGGAGGTTGAAGATCACCTTAGGATTGGTGGCCACACCGGTGTCGAAATTATAGTCGTAGGACTTCACCTCGTAGTCGGTGGTATCGATGTAGTAGAACTTCTTGGCCTTCTCGTCCCAGGCCAGTCCATTGGAGATGCCCACATCGCCCTTGATCACCGAAGGTTGGCCACCGGCCTCCCAGCGGTACAGCTCGCCGTGACGGAATTCAAACTCATCGCCAATGTAACGCATGGTGCCACCAAAGAAACGACCACGAGGATCAGCCTTGGCATCGTTCAGCCTGTTCTTGTCCATCAAGGGTTGAACCTCGAACAGAGTTCTAACCACCTTGGCGGTTGGTGAGACACCATCCCAGTTGACGATCACGACTCGGCGTCCACAGCCGACGGCGAACTCTTGAGGACGTCCCTCCACCGGAAGCACAAATCCAGCTAGGGTCTCGCCCTCGATCTTGGTCTTGTAGACCTTGTTTTGGGCATAATCGTAGCGCAGCAGGCTGCCAGCCTCCAAGTCTACGTAGTAAAGGCTCTGCCTAGCCACATCCCAATGAGGACCCTCTCCCAAGCCGGCGTAGGAATCGGGCAGTGGCTCAACCTTGTACGACATCTAAAAGAGATTAAACGATTTTATGGAATTTAGTGGAACAAATTTATATTTACATAACACTATCCCAAAAATAATGGTAAGTGCTAACAAAATGGAAATAACCAAAGCGATTATAGAGATTAAGAATTATAATTCTACAAAATTATTCGTAATTAAAATTGCAGAAAATTGCTTAAATTTGGCATTTAATTTTCGACTGGTTGATATAATTACTATATTATTAATTATATGGCAGAACAAATCACCGTTGAAATACGTTTACACCATGATAATATCGATTTTTGATGATTTTTTTTTTTTGAATTAAGATTCAGTTTGGATCATAAGTGAAACACTATATCTTTTATAATTCTAAAAATAGTTGAGTTATTTTTTTAAAGGACCAAAAGGATTTGAATTGGATTTGAGAGTCACTTGTCCTACTTATAGAACCACTACCGTTAGTCCAAATAGGCACGCTATAAACACTGGGATCAGTAACATCTTGCGAACTGGCTTTCTGGGGTACCGAATCAAAACTGAAGCTAAAGCCGTCGACGGGAGAGGCTTTTATTACCTCGAAACCAGGGGCCTGACATTAGCTGAGAACCGGCATCATCAGCATCATCGCAAGCGGAACACAAAACGAGAGATTATTTATTTATTTTTTCATTTCCATGTTTTAAGTTCAATTTTTTCCACAGGCCGACGATGCCACAGTGGTATGCATGACAAATTTGTTAATTTTGTATTGCTTTGAAGGTTTCATAAACTGTAACTTTTTATACAAAAGCTTACAATGTTTAGCTTCAGCTTCATATTTCACAAGCTCTAGTTCTATTGACTAGTATTAACCTGTTTTCCTTAATTTACTTGTATTTTCTTCATTATTTGAGTTATTTGTTTTTGTTTCACTGTGCAATGCAGCTGCGCTCTTGTGACGTCATGCCCTTCACTTACTCAAAAGAAGCAACAACTTTGCGATTAACTTTTAACTTTGATTACGCCTGCCATTTAGCATTGTTTGTTGTGGGGCTGTTAATTGACTTTTGTTGTTATTGCTGGTGTTATTGAATTGGTCAAGTTGAAACCTTAAAGAGATGTTCAGTGGCAGGGACTTCTGTTATCGGACACTTTGAAATGACACACTGGGTTGTAGTTAACTCAAAAATGTTTTAAAGAAACATATTTTAAAGTCCTACAGTTCAGAATTCTTAAAAGAAAATAAATTTTAATATTTAGCTCTCCTTAATAGAGCAGTTTTTTTAGGAATCATTTATTATGTGAAGGACATTCTAAGAAGTTCTTCTAAGAAACGTTTTCCCATTTCTACCTTTAAAAAGGTAAATTTGTTTATATATTGAAAGGATTTTTATTATTCTGAATGATTTTTTCTGAATAGACCAATAGACCAATGGTATTACTTCAAGTTAGGGTCTAAAAGCACTTAGATCTTTCTTTTCAAATCACTTTAGCACAGAAAAAAATACAATAACAGGATTCCAGACAGGACCTACCTTTGAGAAAGTTTATTTTTTGCTTAAGATGGCAAAATGGAATAAGAATCCTTGGACACGGCTCCGTCGAGTAACGCGTTCAAACTGAATTCCAACCGATCTGCCCGAAATCTTATATACCCCAGCCGGTGCGGGCGTGACAGACAATCTCGCCAAAACCTTATATACCCCGCCACGCCCCGCACCGTTCGACCGCCTCTTTTTCTACTGATAAGCTGGGCAATTGGAGGGCTGGATAGCCCGGCCTGATAACACAATAATACAAGCCGGCAACAGGCGAATTAACCCGCTGACAAAATTCATTTAATCCAAAGCAGTCAACAAAAGCTAAAGGTCAGATTTCTTGAATTATGATCAGTCATGTTCAAAATCCCACAATTTTTAGTCACAGAAGAAAAGGCTATTTCATAAATATGAATAATATGACAAACAATACAAATGATAAATAGTATTTAAAGTTAATTACATTTATTAGAATATATAGATTAATAGTAAATCAAAAAAAGGTTTCTTTTTCAACATGAATATATATGGATTTAAAAAAACACAGATCTCGGTATGGGGTTAAGTTAAGTTAAGTTAAGTATATTTTGCAATATATTCGATGGCAGTGCAAATTGCATAGGAGTGGGCGTGGTCAAGTGTTATGTGGGCGAATGACGATAAAAAATACTTTAAAACATTTTATTTAAATTGTTTTTAAGAAAATAATTTTCTCTTATTTCGTTTTTAGCGCATTTCTATGCTTCCGCTGGACCAGTGATAAGTTGCAACGAATATGCGATAAATCGCATCCGAGCCACTATGCCTGGGATCCCAAAGGATGGATCTAAAAGTATATATATATACAGATATGGTATAGTATCAGCTAGCCATATAACCTCCAATGGCTATTTATGGCGCATCTTTGACTGCTCTTTGCACCCCGGGATTAAGAATCGAAAGGGGCGGGGGAATCGGACCATGACTTGGTCCGAATCCGAATATGAATCTCGTGGCCCAAGTTTGGATGCCTTATCGGCAGACGTTTGTCACCTCAGTTGGCCCCTGTGACTGGGCTTTTCTATTTCCATCGCAACTTTAAATTTAAATTGTTTTTTAATTAATTGCTTCAAGATTTATAGGCATATTTGTTAGTCTGTCAATTGATAAGGCAAATACAACCTTTCACAATCCAAATTCGCTAATATCGACTCCTCTCAAAAATATTTATAAGCCTAACTCTTTAAATTTAAATTTAATAAAATTTTGAGTATATTTTTACCATTTCATAAATTGGTATCTAGAGAAAACTGAGCGAAGTCCATGACTTTCTGATTTATTTATTTAAAAACGGAAATTGTCTTTAAATTTTAAGATAAAAAGTATCTTTGAAATAAGAACTTCATTTACCAAAGAAATATAATAAAAGGATTATAAGAGTATTTAAAAAAAAAAACGGTTACCGAAAAACAAAATCAAAATTGTGGAATACTACCATTAAAAAAAAAAAGATCAAGAAATTTAACCGTTTAAAGTGGTTTATTTTTCTATTATTAACATAAGTAGTAGGGCTGTTTGTCTATCTGCTTAAAAAAAACTTTTTATATTTAATTTTTAAACAAATTATTAAATTGTTATTTTAAAATATAAATAAGTATATTTCCTTTTAAAATCTATACATACATATATCAAAAATCAAGTAGACCCAAAATACCGTTATATTTAAAATTTAATTAATTATAATTAAAATCGGCTTGTTATTGTTGGACCGGTTTTTGTGTTTTCTTTTCATGCTGCATTCTTCAATAATGGGTTTGCTACTGTTCTATGTCAAGGTTATTATAATTGTACAAATTGGCCAGAGTTGCAGCATCTTTGCTTTAGCTCGCAATTTGCGGTTATTTACTTACAATTAGCGATTAGCGGAGGCAATTAACTGCACTTAAATTAAAAAAAAAAGTAATTAATAAACAAAACGCGAAAAAAGATACAACTACAAAAACAAAAACGCACTGTGGGGTCAGCTGGCGCCTATAGGGGATGCCACCTTTTTTTTTATAAGTGCAGTTGACTACGTTAACTGTCGGTACACAAATTTTTATAACTATTGACAACAACAATATTAAAACATTTAATTTTAATTGTCCCAAATCTGAACAAACAGAAATACAATTTCCGTTGTTGTTTTTCAAATATATCATATTTAACAATCTAATCGATTAATAAAGTAATCGGATATTTCAACTTCATATGATGGCTTAGAAACAAGTAATTGATTCTTAATTATTAATTGTTAAAGTCAAAACCTCAAAAATAAATGCACGATAGCAAAAGGAAATTGATAACGAAATAAAAAAAAAATAATCATCGAAGTTAGTCGATTAATAAACCAAAGATCTGCGACTGCGCACGCAAGCAAAAATCACCACATTACAAAGTGTGACCGCGCTAGCGTTGAAAATAAATACCACCAATAGTATTGCGAAGTATCGCCATTCCTACCAGCTCTAGACTAAAGCGACATTTGTCAGAGAAAAACCGTTTTACCGTTTTGCAGCCCGGCGGAGCACGTCGCAGGTTCGCAGTGAAGCGTTAATTTTTTTTTCTGTGCGACTACTCGTTCCAAATAAAACGAAGCGAAAAAGCAACTGAAAGCGAAACTTAAAAATCAAATCAGCCCAGGATCGGGCGAAACCAGTGCGAACAATGTGCAGAAAGTGGGTAACGCGAGCGGCGTGCTCGATGGTGACGGAGAGCGGATAGTGTGGATGGTGTGGAACGATTGCGAACGGACGCAGACCGAAACAAAAGTGAAAACGTGCAAAAAAACAACAAAATATTAAAAAAAAAAAAGCGAATAGCGAATACAAAGCTACAAAATGTGCGACGCTGCGGCGGCAACAGCAGTAGCAGCAGCAACAACTACAACAACGATTGTGGAGGCAACAGTGACGCCTGGAACGGGAATGGTCATGGGAACGCCAGCGGGAGCGACTACCGCAGGAACGGGGACAGGAACCACATCCCCTGAAGCGGCTGGGGGCGGCGCTACACCAACAACAAAAAGTGAACGGTCGGCGCGACAAAACTGCTGTCGCTTATGCATTGCCCCACAAACCGAATGCATCTCGATCATCAATAGCTATGCGGCGGACAAGGAGCCGCTGTCCACCAAGATCCACAACTGCGTCAGCATCAAGGTGAGTGAGTCTTTAAAGCCACATACACATACATATATAGTTTGTTGTACATAATCCGGCTGTCGCTGTCGTCATCCCGTGTCCGATTCCTATTCCGATTCCGAGTCCGGCGCTCTCTTCGAATGCTCTCTTGGGTGCTCTGGAACTCTGGTGTTCTGGTGGTTGGACACCATTAACAGTTATACACACAGATCCCATGCCCAGTTGGAAGGATGAGGTGGTGGCCACACCCGTTAGCTTTGTGTTGGACATCCAAAAAGTGAGGTTACGGATGATGAAGAGTAGCTATTGGCCCCAGGGGCCGCAGGCTGTGACGTTGGATTGTGCAAGCACCAAAGATGATGGCCACCAAAATCACAAAAAAAAAAAGCTAAAGAAGAAAAAAAAACAAAAACCGAACGAAAAACCAGCCAAACCCCGCCTCCTCTACTTCTGGCTCTTCGATGTGAGCGAGTATTGGGTGTGTGGCTAGCCGCATGGTCCGCTTTTTGGGTTTCCAATGTTTCCACTGCCAAGTCACGATGCAGTGGGAATGGAAGAGAGTAAGAAGAGGACGGCGGAGGAGAAGGAGTAGTAGAAGCGGAGCGCCTGGCTGTAATCCAATCACGACCACAATCTTTTGCTCATAATCAAACTTGAACTCTTCACTTTTGCTACTCCGCCTTTTCCTACTCGTTTCATTCCATTCCTTCCTTCCTTCCTTCTTTGAGGTTAGAACTGATCCTGCTTCCTTTCCAAATAACAGATTGCATGCTCCGCTTGCTCCTCTTGTTCTTCCTGCCGCTGCTACTGCTGCTGATTCTACTGTTCCACCTCATCCTCTTCACATTTGCCTCTTCCCAGCGGGCGAGAGTAGCTGCGGATGGCCAGCGCAAAGCATAAAGTCCGATGAGCGCGCCGTCGTCATTTTGCATGTGTATGTGTGTGTGTGCCCTGTATATGAGTGTGTGTTTGTGTGTGGCTGCGGCGACGACAACGACGACGACGGCGGGCAACAGAGATTCAGAGATTCCAGGCCAGAAAACCGAAAACGGAAAACCGAAAACCCAAAAACCCAGGCCAATTACATATAATTTTGCGTAGTTTGTACCTTTTTCAAGGAATTTCGCTTGGAGGGCAGCAGTTGCTCTCTATGCTCCGCTCTCTTTGCGCGCGCGCATCCTCTCGAGGAAGAGGACGACAATGACGATGACGATGACGACGCCGACATGGAATAGGAAGAGGCGGAGGAGAAGGAGGAGGACTTGGACTGCTTCCTCATGTGGCTTCACTAGCTTCGTTTATTGATTCTTTCTGGGTTCTATTTTGTTGTTGTTCTTCTGACAAGTTCCCCCGGCATCTATGTATATCCCAATATCCCATATCCGCCACGCTGACGCTGCGTGCGCTTGGTGCTGGCACTGGTGCTGCTTGACGCTTTTGTGCCCCCAATGGTCGTCTGGGTCTAATGGTGCTCGGTTCTCGGTTCTCCTCGATTCTCGGTTCTCTGTTCTTTCCCTGGGCTTCGATTCGATTTCATGGCAATTGCTCTTCACACCGACGTGGACACACGCACACATACAGGCGCGCCAGTTGCCTCCGACAGTGGTATATATATATATATATATACTTATACACCAGCAACAACAAGAACATACTGGTTGGCGTCATCGCTAGCTCGACTGCTTCTCTTGCTCTTGCTCTTCCTCTTGCTCCGTTCTCGTTATCTGGAGGCGGACCACATGCTCGCATACACACGCACACACAGGCACAAGACAAAGACACAGGCAAAAGAGACCGGGAAACGGGAATGGGAATGGGTATAGGAATGGACATGGCTATGGCTATGGGCATGGGCACGGTTATGGAATGAGTAGGGGCTAGCGGGAATCGGACAGCGGGAAGCAGCAGGCAGCGGGCTTTGAAAGACGGACAGCGGCGGAGACCCAAAACCGGGCACAAAATTCGAGTGGTTTCACCTTGGGCACACCAGATTACCTGGTGGGTTGTCGATATATTTCTGCTTTTGCCTTTCTGCTGCTTCTTCTTTGCCTGGCTGGCTGGCTCCTCCTGCGGCCCGCATCGAATTTCCAACAACACCAGGCAGCAGTAGCAGCAGGCAGAAATAGCAGCGGCGTCGTCATCGTCTCCATTTTGTGGCTCTGTGGGTCCCCAGGTGGACTAACTTTCTCCCCTTGGCCAAAAAGTACTACGACGACGATGAAGCGACGTGACGAGATGACAAGCCGATAAAAGAGGGATTTCCAAGGGAAGAGGGCCGGGGCGTTGCGAGGCAAAGCGAGGAGGAAACCAACAACGGAACAGAGAGAAGCAGCCGAAGCATCCACATTTCCACTCTGGCTCATCCAAGATGGCGGATGAGGGCTGGATGGAATAGGTAGCCAGGATTTTGTATAAACTCAAGGATACACACTTGAGGGATACATAAATTTCCAAGGATGTGACTCTGTTTATCCAAAAGGGAATAGATTTGGCAATAAGATGATCTAAGATTATATATATATATATATATATATATTCATAAAAATGGCATATGTTCAAGTTTAGGACAATTCTTGGACTAAAGGACGAAGGGATTTTGTAGAAGATACTTTAAGAATAGTTTTTATAAACTAACTAAAATGGAACCTTTGCTTATCAATTATAAATAGAGCAAACTATTATATGGAATATAATGATTTTAGATAATATATAAAGGATAAGTCTTAAATACAATTGATAGCAAAGGTTCTTAATTTTGATTTGGTTTGTTTGGATTTTCAACATATATCCTAAACATAAAAGTATCTTTAAACTTACATTGATATTTTACGAGCCCTTTAAACTAAATGATTAAATGTTATTATTCAGATAAGCTTCGGCTCCCGAAGAACTACCATCCACTGTTTAAGATTGGCTATTTGTTTTATCGATAACATTGATCTCTGTCAGAACGATAACAGCTGTTTGGAAGCCTTAGGGTGAACCCTGTTGCACTTGCGTTTTTATTTTGTTTTGCGTCGTTTTGCCTGAAATGAAATTCAATATTTCAAAATGAACCCCGATTCCGACTCCTCTTCGTCCTGCTCCTGCTCTTGTCGTTGTTGCTGCTCTCAAGATCTCCGGTCTGCAAAATATGAGGGTTACTTTTTGGTTACTTCTACGTCTTCACATTGTGCCTGGAACGGACAGGACAGGATGCTCTCTCTCTTGCCCAAAGGCACACACACATACACAATATATATGTATATATACAAACAGCATGGGTTTGGAACGAATAAGGACACAAAAAGGAGAAGAACTTGTTCCACGAAGGAACAGAGGTAACGGGGAGACGGGAATGGGAATGGTCCATGGCTGGTGATTATTGCACCTGGTGGCCTGGCCAGCAGAAAACGAAGGCGGCAGCTGGTGGAATCTGCAGCTGCTACAAGTCTTTCTGCATTATATACCATATATATAGTGCTTATGTATATAAATTACCTCCTGCCCTTTGGCGACTTTCTAAAATCTCACCTTATTGCGTAGCATATCTATAATATAAATGTATATGGATAAACCCAAACCCAAAACCCAAATGAGGTCCAATGTTGGCATGTCATAGTTAAAGTGCAGTTCGCGGAAGCTGGAAATCTTTGTATCCTGTAACCAATTGCACAGCGAAACATGGCGGCCATAAAGGAAACGCTGGTTTGGGTGAGGTGAATGAACAACACATTATCGAAACGGAATGGAGATGGAGTTGGAGCGGAGCCCTCGGAATCCTCCACTGGGAGTGTGGGATTTTGTACATAAGGATACAGTAGTGGTATATAATATGTATGTCGGCCCAAAATTGGAGTCGGGTGTATGTGCTTGTTGTTTGGCCATGCGTGTGTGAGTGTGCTTAAAGGACCCGCCGGGCTTTAATATCCCGGGGTTTCAATTACAATAGCACAACAATACAGCCATTAACAACAACAAGCATTTCGATTGTTAAATTAAATACACCAACAAAAACAAACGCGTATGCCTTTCATACACACATACATTCATACATGCATACATAGTTTAAGTCGAAAAGACATGCAAAACAAAACATTTCCATCGTTTGTTTTGATCATTTTCATTCGCCTCTTCGATTGCTAATTCTCGCGGTTTGTTGCTATCGATATTCAACCAAAGTAGTGAAAAGGGGAGCAGAGGTGACAATTTAGCGGGTTTATAGTGAATTATAGCCGGTGATCATATGAATATACAGTGGGGACTTAATAAAGCATACTAATAATATTAGTTCATTACGTAGGATAATATGTTATGATGTATATTTTACATTTTAACTAAAATATGAAAAATATCTTTCTTCATATACTTTTTATATTATTATTTTGAAATATATTTTCTTATTAAGAATTAGGTTGGGAGAAATATTATAAAATTATTTATTACAATAGAATAATATTCTTAAATTAAATAATCATTTCGTAGATTATAAATGGATCAATTTTGATTCTTTAGTACGTGTAGCTTATTTCGACCGTCTTTTAGCATCACTGAGAAACTGCCACTGCTTCGATAAGCGATTACGATGAAATATGCTTAACCGCGGACTTTGATAATTGAGATTTAATAGATTTTGTGGCGGCCAAGACATTTTGAGCCCGAGCTCCCGGCGAAATCGACCCGTGTGTTTTGTGGCAGGACGGGCATAAGTATATAAGGGCGGGCTTTTACATACATAGGCTGGCAATTCAAACGATACACACAGTCGTATGGACGACACAAACAAACATGCGCACACACTGTTATCAGCCAGCAGGACATTTCATATGATTTGCGCAGTGTTCTGTGTTTGTGGTGGTTACCGGTCGGGTAGTGGGGTGCGTTTTAAGGTGATGAGGTGGCCAGTAGTGGGTGGTGTGGGATGCTGCGGCAGTATTGCATATAATTATAAGCAGGTCATTGACATTAATAGAATAGTTGGGAGCTGGGGACTGATACCTGCATTCTCTGCATCGCTGGACACATAAACGCCAAACTGTTGTTCCCCCAAAACTCTAATGAAATGGCCAAAAACCGAAAGAGTGGGCAAATACCCCGGGATATTTACAGTTTAAATGTTATTGAACCTTTATCTTTTAGGATTATTTCTTATTTAAATAGTTTTTTAGATATTGCCATAGCTCCATTAACCATTAGCATTAATATTAATATTCATATTATTATATTTAAAATATGTCAAATATATATTAATTTTAATAATCGATTTTATTTTTACTTTTAGATTACACCGCAGGATCGGCTGTCACTGCAAATTTGCCATGCCTGCATCAGTTACCTGAACTCATGGCAGAGCTTTAAGAACCGCTGTTTCAGTTCGCAAGCAAAGCAACGTCAGTGGCTGGACGTCAACAAGAGCAAGCTCCTGAACTACCTGGACCTGAACACTGCGGAGAATGGAGGAGGAGGCTCCTTCGATCAGCAACAACACCATCATCAATTGGAGAATGAGCTCGAAGCGGAGAAGGCGACGCCAACGGCCGCATCGACGGCCGCTAACATATTGGATGGCATACACTCGCTGAAGAAGCGCAAATCTCTAACAGTCTATGTGAGTCCTAAACCGCAACAGCTGCCACAGCATCAATTGCAGCAGCTGCAGCTGCAACCACCGGCCAGAATGACGGCGACGACCAGCAACGCGCAGCAATCGCTGCAGACCCTTCTTTTACAGGTGCCACCATCGGTGGCGGCGGCCAGCTGCTCCTCCACATCTACATCCACCACATCGGTATCCCTGCAGCGGGAACAGCAGCATCAGCATCGCCAGCAATCTCACCAATATCGCAGATACCATCATCACCAACAACATCAGCAGCGAGGCAAGCAAACGCTGCCACATCATCAACAGCAGCAGCAACAGCATAGACGCCAGCGGCAATTCCGTCCACAGCGTCCAGCTCCGGTGGCCAATCCAGCTCCATCGCTGCGAAAATTCAAACCGAAGCTGTATTTGCCATTGGATATAGCAGTTCCACCACTGCCACCGCTGCCACCTTTACCAACAGTGGCCCCAGGATCCATTGCTCCGCCTGCTGCTGCTGCTGCTCCTGAACTGTTGCCGGGGATGTCTGGTGTGGGTGGAATGGAGAGCTTGTCGCTGTCGCTGCCGCTTGATTTCAGCCAAAGCTGCAGCAGCAGCGGTCACGTCCAACAACAGCAGGCTAGTGGTTTGGCCACGACAACGTCCACGTCTAATCCGCCGGGAAACGTCGTTTCCGCCACGGCCTCTGTCTCAGCATCTGCATCAGCAACTGCTTCCGCATCCGTGTCCACGGCTCCGCTGCTTATGCCGGTGACGCTACAGAGCGCCGCCCAGCAGCTGCGCTTTTTCAGACGCTACTCCTATAATGTAATTGTATCGTGCATTCGAAGCGTGAACCAATCCCTTCTCCTAATCTCGTACAGCGCTTTTCTACCTGTTATCCCGAATACGAAATTATGCGAAATCATCAATCCGTCTGTCTGGATTTAGTCCTCCTCTTGCCAACTTTGGAAATAATATATACTTATAATACCAACTCGATCATAGCTATCTGGCTAACGGGTATAAAAGGACGTACTGAAGCGTCCATGATTGATGTTATAGATTTACTATTGTGTCATATAAGAATATTGTGCTATATTCGATTGTAACTAATTTCCGTTTCGTCTGGCATTGTTTGTTCTTTCATTATTGGTTGAATGCTTGGATCCACTGCAGCCACTGCCTGCTATACCCATCAAAGATGAGCCCATTGACACGGATGACGACTACCAGATGAAGTCAATAGACGAGTCCGATGACATGGTTGATCCCACAATGTTCCTAGAGCGCTCCGAGCACGAGGGCGATGTGCCGCTGACGGTGAGTCATTATAGAATTTAAATAATTATTAGGAGTTTTTTCTGTGAACCTAACATTAATTCATATTTCATATTTATGTACCCCCTGCAGGCTTCGGACTATGACTACACTGCGCAGCATGGCGTGAATGCCTCGTCTGCGGCTGCCTCGCTGCCGGCAAATGCGGTGGCCAACGTGGCTGCCGCCGGGGACTCGAAGGTGGCAAGCTGCCGGGCCTGCAGTCTGCAGTTCTCTACCCGGGCAAACGCCCGTCGTCACGAGCGGAATCTACACCCGAATCTTTTCCAGCTGTCCACAGACTCGCCCCATAATACCCCCATTACGAAGCCAACGCCCGCCCTGGCTGCTGCCTTGGAAATTCAACGGGCAGCGGCAGCAGCGGCAACCGCGGAGGCAAATCGAGCGGCTGGTGCTGCTGGCGGGAATATCTCCACGCAAAAGTATCGTCAGGTGGTGATGAACGCGTTCATTAAGTGCGAGGGCGGTGGCTATGACTATGATAATCCCGAACAGTACCGACCACTGCTCACTCGCGACAAGGTGGAGTTCATTGAGCAGAACGACGAGTTCCTGGAGCAATACCAGACGATGACCTGCCGCTGCTGCAGCAAGTACTTTAGCACGTACAAAAACTTCATGGCGCACGTGCGCAAGAAGTATCCGCTGCTGCCGCGCAATCTATGCTTCAATTGCCTCAAGATGAACGACTCCAAGGCGCTGTTCATCTCGCATCTGAAAAAGCGGAATTGCATAAATCTCTTTAGGGTTTTGAATGCGCTGCGTGGCAAGACAACGACAGTGGTTGTATCCAGTTCAGAGGACGTTGCTGACGATGGAGCAACAGGAGTCGTTTCCGTGGCCGATGCCGGAGCAGGAGTGGTTGCCATGACCAGTCCCACAGTGACTGCCAGTGGAGAAGTCGTCACAACCGGCAGTGGCTCCGAAAGACCAGAGAAACTGCGCGCCAAGGAACTGCTGGTTAACAAGCTATACGAATGCAAGCTCTGTCCCAAAGGATTCCGCACCAAACACGAATTCCGAACGCATGTGTACGACAAGCACGCAGATGTCCAACGGAAAGACAACAACTCAATACAGTGCAGCTTCTGTGGACTGGACTTTGCTGATCCGGTAGATAGGCGCCGGCACTACAACAACATGGACTGCATTGTCCGACTACGCTGCATGACGTGCGATGCTAAGCTGGAGACACACCAGCGTTTCCTTGAACACGTCTACCAGGATCACTTGGGCGGTGTGGGTGGCGGGGCAAGTAGCGATAATGCCTCTACCACGGGCAGCGGCATGGCAAGGAGCAATAGCATGGAACATTCACCGGGCAAGAGAAGTCTGCTTGGTGCCTTGGGCATTGGTGTTGGTTCCTCAGCAGAAGAGTCACGAAGCAGCAGTGTGGCTCCACCAATGACCTCCACACCAAAGCTGGCTGGAGGAAGTCAGGTGGGTGGTGGCTCTACAAGCGCTTCAGCTCAGAGCTCAGCAAATAGAGATGCGGCTGCACCCAAGTCCCAGTACTTCTCCCGGATGCCGCAGGTATGCCCCATTTGTGGTCAGCAATACAACAACTACAACAATGTTCTGCGCCACATGGAATCGAAGCATCCCAATAAATTACCAGAGACATACAAGTGCGTGCGATGCGGACTGGGCTATCCCCGGATTTCCTACCTACGGGAGCATATGATCAATGTGCATGGCGTGGATAAGAACAGACACTCTGGTGGTTTCGAGTACATCGTGAATGCAGATGCCGTGAAGTTGGCGGACGGTAGCACGCCGAACGTATATACGGGTCGCTACGACTACGTGATGAAGGACCTGATGTCGATAACAAATGGTGGGACACTCGGTAATTAGGCTTAGATTGTAGACGTCCCCCCGCTCTGCCTGTTTCTCATTGACTATGTCACCGTTTCATCTCCATAGTTTTTTTTTCTTTAAGATTGCTTTTATTTCTAAACGATATTTTGCAGAACTATAATCATTTTATACTCAACCATGTGTATAGATTTTTAAAGTGCATCTAGTCATATTTGAATATCCATTTAAAGAACTGGTCTAAACGTTTCTGAGTTCTACTAGGAGGCGTTTAGCGTTCATTCTTTTAATTATTTAAACAAAAATGTTTTTTTTGCTTAAAAAAAAAACTCATAATTGATCTTTAAAGTTAAATATTTCCCGCTTAACTAGTACTAAAAAATTTGATAGTCATTAACTTTTGTCTTATTATTTTGAATAACTTAAGACGACTTTATATGTACCACATGGGTACTCATCTAAGTTTTTTTTGTTACTTTGAAAGCATTAATATCGCAGTAACCTGCTAGAACTTGACTCCTTTTAAATATAAATGACAGATGACATGTTGTTATGTGTAAAGAAATATTATAAATTCATTTAAATCAAAGGCCATTTGCTGGTATGTCTCTTGTTGTGTTTAGCTTAATTTTTGTTCTTTTCTGCGACCCCTTCAAGTGACAAACTAACCCGTTTTCCTCTCAATGATTCCAGATGACGAAGATGAAGAGCCGGGCAGCGTGGCCAAGAAAATTCGGCTGGATGACAGCAGTAACAACAGCAGTCTGGTGGGCGTAGCCAGCCAGCAAAAGGAGTGCCCAATCTGCAATGCGGTATTCAGTAACAACATCGGCCTGTCCAATCATATGCGCTCCCACTACACGGCCTCGAATTCAGTGAATGCAGCTCTGGCGGCTGCCAATCGGATGACGCCCAAATCACTGACGATAACCGCAACACCAGCTGTGGATTCAGAGGTTGGGCTCGGGGCAACATCATCGGTTTCTGCCCCATCAACGCCTGCCAATGTGCCACCAGCAATGGCAAATCAAACGCCCCAGGAGCAGGCCGTTTTTCGGCGAAGTCTTGACCAGGCGGCCGATCGTCGCTTCCGGCGAATGCGCTGCCGCATCTGCCAGCGCCGTTTTAGTTCGAAGAAATCTTATCGCTACCACATGCTCACCGATCATCAAGTGCAGAATGTCCAGTTCATTAAGTGCAAACTGTGCAACGCAGAGTTTGCTTACGAGAAGGGTTTGAAGGTACATCTGTTCAAGGTGCATGGAAGGGCAATTAAGGACGAGATGATTATCAAGCAATTTGAGTGCGAGGTCTGCTCAATTGTCTACAGCTCGGAGATGGAACTGCAACAGCACAAACGCACTGTCCACAAGCTGACTTCTGCCTCTGCATCAGCATCTGCTTCGGCATCCACTTCCTCCAAAATTGATGATGAAACGCTGATGGATGAGGTTAAGTCTGCAGGAGCTGATCTGTCTGACCTTTCAACCCTTGCGGCTAGTGCATCCGCTACATCTGCTTCCAACCAGGGACTGGGTACTCCGCTGTACTGGTACCAGTGCAAGTACTGTCCCTCTAATTTCAACACCAACAAGAAGCTAGCCATTCACATCAACTCGCATGACGAGTTTGACTCAAATGATTATTCCTGCAAAGATTGCGGTAACGTCTACAGCGGCCGTAAAAGTCTATGGGTAAGTGTTATTGTATTACTTTGTTTTATAGGGGAACATTAGGCGTGGTTCTTTTGATAACAAATATGTTTATTTTCTGCCCACAGGTACATCGCTACAAAAAGCATCCGCAAGTACCCGACCCAGTCGAGTGCTCGCTGTGCAGGAAGGTCTTCTTTGACCGCCAAATGCATGACAACCATACGCCCACCTGCAACCGCAAACCAATAACCTCGACAGGCGCCCACCAGCAGCAGGATACACAAGCGTCCCTGATCAGACGGACAGTTTTCCGGCACAAGACCGGCGATGACGATGATGAAGAGGAGGAGGATGAGCAACAGCAACTGGAGGAGAGGGCCAATACCGATGGCAATGGGACGACAGCCGGTGTGGCTTCGGGGAGTACTGTAGCTACTACTGTTCCGTCGATGAAGATCCGCATTCCAGAGGTGGCCTGCACCATTTGTGGAGCTCGCTTCACCGATCAGGAGCACTTTAGCAAGCACATCCAGAAGCACGAACAGGAGCTGTACGTGGACAATCCGCTGGCGGCGATGTTTGACGATGGGCCAGCGGATGCCGGTCAGTTTCAAGTAGAGCGGCAGAACGAAAACGGGGAGTACGCGTGCGATTTGTGCGCCAAGACGTTCCCCCAGGTGATCGCACTCAAGGTGCATCGCAAGTGGCATTTCAGAGGTGATAGCAAGCAGGTGAGCGTTTTTGGGCTTGTGCAGCGAGGAGGACAAGCGACGGACGATGGCGAGGATCGTCGTCTGTCGCGCCACCAACAACTTTTGATGTGCTGATGATGATGATGATGCCTCCGCACCAGTCGCAAAAAACAGATATCAACATCTCGTCATTGCCAATTGAATTTGTACTAATCTTTGTTTTCTCTTTTCTCCCACCAACTCCCCAAAATTTCCCGCTGTATCCTGCTACCCCCCGGCATACTTAATCCTTACAGAACCCCATCGACGGCGAAGCGACACAGTTGACCAACAACAATCACACAACCAACAACAACAACAACAACTCGATGTTGCACCTCCGCGAGCTGCATGCGGTGGGCCTGATGCCCAATCAGCAGCAGCAGAGCCTCAACAATTCGTGCAACAGCAGCATGAACCACAACAACAGCAGCAGCAGCAACCGCAGCAAATCAATGAAGCGGAAACGTGAGCTGAAATGCGAATACTGCGCCTCCACCTTCATCAGTAATAACAATCTGCGTCGCCACATGTACGAGTTGCATAAACACGAGGTAAGCAATCTACCCGAGCCACCGGTGATTGTGGTGGACGATCACCTCACCTGCCGTCGCTGTCAGTTGAATTTCGAGACCAAGGAGCTGTGGATCGAGCACAAGCTAGCCGATGCAAAGGTAGTACGACCCTTTTGCCCATTCCAATGGGGCTGTGATCTGTGCGGCGAGTACCTGTCGCGCAAGGAGAAGCTGATGAATCACATCAACAACCATCTCAAGGAGGAGGTTATTGTGCCCGTGGCTACTAAGGCGGCTATAGAGAGAACAGCAGCAATGGAAACAGCGACAGCAGATGCAACTACATCGGCTCCAACATCAACATTGGGTGATGCAGTGAAAAAGGAAGAGCAAACTCTGTCCAAAGGTGAGGGATCAGCAGCAGCAACAACATCAGACAAGTTGGCGAGCCCCGAGGAAGAAGATAGCGATGATCTGGACGAGGATGATAGCTCGGGCGAAGATGAGGAAAGTTCAGGCACGGGAGATGATGATGATGACGACAGCGACGATGAGGATGGCGAAGGTGAAGATGAAGATGAGGAGGGAGATGGTGGTGAAGGCGAAGACGAAGAAGGCGTGCAGCCCCCGGCTCAACTTTTGCCACAGAAACAACACAAAGCGGATCTTACCCAGGACGACGATGATCTTGTCGAGGAAGTCATTAGTTCAGATGACGACGAAGAAGATGATGGCGAGGTGGAAAGTGACGATGACGATGATGATGAAGATGACGATGATGAGGATGATGTAGAGGACCCGGAGCCAGTACAATTGCCGGTGCGACCGCTAATGAATGGCAAATCCAAGATGCCACCACTGATAGTGGCCAGCTCCGATGATGAAGACGATGGTGTAATGCCCATAGAGGACATTATCGAAGAGGAGTTCGATGAGGATGCCGATCCAGATCCTGATCCAGAGGATGTTATCGAGGAGGTTGATGACGATGATTTAGATGAGGGGGATGCGGAAGACGAGGCGAATATGGTGTCGACGGCCTCCTCTTCGGAGAGCGAGTCCACCACAACGACCACGTCCAATTCACATTCGCATTCCACGGGTGAGCGGCGTAAGAAAGCCGATGATCAGTTGAATGATCCCGGCTTTACCTGTGATCTATGTCAACTTTGTTTCGATTCTCAGGAGCTTCTCCAGAGCCACATCAAAAGCCATATTCTCAATGGGCCAAAGCTCTCAACAGCGGCAGCCGTAACACACCCAGCAGCAGCAGCAGCAAGCGGCACGACAGCAACATTAGCAACGGCAGCAAAGATGAAACCTGACTCCAAGTCAGCGGTGCTGGCCAACAATAACAACAATAAGAGTAAGACTGTTGCCGCCACGGCGACAGCTGCAACAGCTGCGACAAATTGAGTAATCAAACTATCAACAACTCATCATCTTAATTCAAACTCACTTGAAATGTACAAAGCCAATCCACTCAAACACCGCCATCATCTCATTATAATCATTTAAACAATGAAAAAACGTTAAAACATCAGCAAACCACCACATGAACATCAGCAACGCATTCCATCTACAAATCAGCCAAGTTAATGTATAGCACGAGATGCGTGTGTGTGCGTGTGTGTTTATAGTATAAACCATTTTTTCTTGCTTCTAGTCTTAAGAACTTATCTAACATATATGTACATCATATATATATATATATATCTATATATCTATATATGTATACATATATATATATCTAAGATTTTTTTTTAAATGTTAACCTAGTTTGTACCGCGCACACACTCACACACAAAGCAAAAATAGAGGATTTATAGGCATCCTTTTATGGCTAAGTTTCGCTATAAAAACTATATATATACATATATATATATATATATATTGATATGGTAGGCATAAGCATATAGTGAAGTACGTCTTAATATGTTACACATCAATTATCAAGCAAAAGTTTACGACGCACCAAAGCAAGCGACAGAAAACGCAAAGGAAACCGCTCAGTTAGAGTTAGTAAAACATCAGGATTTTCTAAGTATTTCACACAACACCACCATGACACTCTCAAATACACAACACACAAAGCGATAGTTGTTTAGACTTTCTATTTCTTTTTTTTTTCGTATTTAAACCTTGGTCTACCCAAAATTCGAGAATCAGTTTAAGACTTTCTTATTTCCTAAGCAGAAAAGTTAGGAAAACTAGAACACAACCATTTTATTTTTTTTGTGACTAAAAATTTATGAATCATATTTTAAGCATACGTATCTTATAGAGTCCTTATCTTTTGAAATATTACTATTCTTACATTTTACCCATAACAATGAACATTATATTAGATTTCATTTTTGGCAGTACTTTAAAAGGTCGGCTATAGTTTTTTTTCTTGAGTAGCTTTTTGCTAGTTTTGATATGTGGTTATTCTTAATAGTAGGTAATCACACACCACCTTTAAAGCTTGAGATTAAGAGATTCATAGCCCAATTTCTTACCAAAACGGCAAATTTAAAAATCAATGCCCACGAATACTCACTTTTGAATAACTTAAATTTGTTTTCAACTTAATCATTGAGCAAGTTTTATTTTACAACGCTTATTTGAACAGACGAAAAGTTCATGGTTATTTTTTTATTTTTTTTTTAATGCATACTAAAACTTTCTTTCCATTTGAGAACAACTTGCTGGGCAAGACCAAGGCCAATAGTGGATCCTTTCTTAGAAACGTACGCTCACTAGCATATACTTGCGTACATCCGAAAATCTTTAAACACAAACATTTTTTTAAATATAATCATCCAAAATGGTTGTCAACTACGTAACTACGTAATTCTTTCTTAAGATTTGGTTTTGTATTTTATTTTAATTTTAAACCTTACGCTACGATTTTGATTCCTTATGGTCTTTTTTTTCCAAAAGCTCCCACAAGTGCAAAATAGGTTTAATATCAAATGTCTGGTGATGTGTTTACAGCAAAAGTTTAACGTTCTATCAAGTAGCCAAAGCCTTATATTCTGAATGGTGAGCATAGCTTTCCATTCCTGCTAGATATAATATTTATCTCAACAAGCACTTTGGTGCAAATTGCTAGGAAATGAATATTGTTTCGAGCAGGATTATGAGCCATTGCTCGCGACACAGCGTACAAGGCCCTGGCTACCAGATAATGTTAAATATTTGCTGCAAGGACCCCTCCAGAAGAATGCTCAAGAAACCTATTGACTATTTGTGGGGTCTTTTGAAAAGAAATGACCGTAAGCACTCAAGATCGTAGGGCAATGTTAAAAATTGGAAATAAAATGTAAGACCATTGAATATTTTTACGACACCAGACAAAATACGCGATTGAAAACCATAAATGATATTTACGTCTAAAAACTGAAATGTTTTTTGTGGGTGTACGCGTATAGATATGCAAGTGATTGTATTTATAAAGATTGAAATTCATTCATATAGCTTATATAACGATTTAACCATAATCTGTACATTACTTATATTTCACAATCTTACAACCACACGCATGCGCACACAACTTCGACGTATATAGATACAACTGATAACGGCGGCATTATATGTAAAACTATCTTAAGCAACTTCTAAAATGTAACTGGAAATGTAGTCTAAAACGTACAAAATAAATTAAAACAAATGCAGAATCATATAAGCAAACTTTTGTCCCTCACGAGTTGAAGAATCGAAAAGAAAGTAATAAAAGAAATATAAACCTAAAAATATATATATAAAAAACAAAATAGTTTACTTTGGCGGGTTGTCCAATTTGCCGATAGCATAATTATAGAGACCTTATCTAAAATTTAGCCGGAAATGTTGAAATAGCACTGATAACCATATGTTTTTTAATCGTTGACCATTAAGTACATTTATAAGATGGTATTTGAGAAGAAAAAATCCTTACCGATCCATTTAATTGTCAATAAAATAATAGAAATCTGCCATTAACAATGTTTATTTGCGAATACAAACGTAGTGAAAGGCAATACATATTAGGTCAGACACAAAGTATTACTTTGTGGTTTTGTAAAGCAATGGTGGAAATTCGTGTGGATTCTTGAAGGGGCGACACTTGGTGTGTGTGATGTGCGGAATAAGTTATATAAAAAAATCACAAGTAGTTTGGTTACACACATATGGAGGAAAAATAAAATAGAATCAACAACAAGAGGCCCGGCCATCGGCTCATCGGATGGCCAAGTGCACACAGTCAAAAAACATGAAGAAAAGAGTAGTCCAAAAAACATGGTGCCAGTTGGTCAATAGAAACTACTTTATGCTGATAAGGCTTAAACAGATGGATCTACTAAAGCTAAGTGAAGCAGCCCGGAATGCTGTCGGTGCTCGGTCTAGGAGTACTGCGTGTGCGGGTTCACGTTGATCATCTCCATGTTGCTGCTGGGGAAACAGAAATAAAACATTGATTAGTTCAAGAGCCCTTTGGTAAAGTTGTCAATCATTTTGGCCAGTGCCCGATAAGGAGTAAAGCTACTATCAATCGCTACTTAAATGTCAAATACTTATCGCACACCGAGCAAAGCTAATTTGACCATGGGAAATGATGCGCCATCAATGGGATATGAAATACTCGACTTTTAGCGGACCTAATGCACTATAATGCTGTGGGAGTAGGAATACGGATGGGAAGGTTGATGATCATGATGGTAAAATGAGGATGACATTATTAAATGCTAGAGTAACTTACCTACGACTGCATCGCATATGGATAAACAGCAGGGCCAAACCCAGGGTGATGCAAATGGCACCGACCACAATGTACGCAATGCCCAAGAAGGGATTCTTGCCACCGAGCACGGATGTGGTCGACAGGATCATGCGCTTGGTGCCGTCAAACGAGACCACCGGATATTCTAAAAAGCAAAACAAAAATTTATAGACGATGCCTGGATACACTTTCGACATTGGTACTAACGATACTTAATGTCTAGCGTATAATTGCCGGCTTTGAGGCCGTTCGCATATTTGGTGTCCGTTTGGTTCAGCCGGCGATATAACTTCCGGAAACTGGGCAGAGCAGCGGTGCGCATCCATACGATTAAATCCTCGTTCTGGAAGCCATTGTTCTCTGGATTTTCTGGGTCGAGATCGGCCAAGCCCTTCTGCCAGAACATTGGCTTTGAGAAGCCCTCAAGGGAAACGTTAAGATTGCCCTCTGGGTTGCGGAATTTGACGCGCTTATCCGATGGCCAGGCAATGCCCGTCTTTAGCAGCGTAATCTCGGAGCCAGCCTGCATCAGGGTCAGTGTGTCTAGAAGGTATCAAGGTTAGATTTGGTACAATAAAAATACCCCTATGAGAGTTCGCACCATTGAACAGCGAGTTAGCTATGGCTCCGCAAGGAGCAATAGGCTTCCCGGACTCGGGATCATAGGCGTAGGGCGCGCAATCCGAACTAGGCGTTTGCGACAGGTGACCCAACAGCTGCTCGTCATCTCGAGACTTCACATAGCGCCGATGGTTTTGGTAGTAGTTAGTCAGTCCGTAGTACATATACACCACTCCCTTTAAAATAAAGTAATACGAATACACAGAAACAATCAGAAATCACCACAACACAGAACATTATTTTTAAAGCAAAAATCCTAATATAATTATCTACTATCTAGTTATATAGTATTTTTGGGAAACCATTCATCTTGAGATTATTACTTATTTTGCATTACTTCTTTTATGACGGAAACAATGCTATGCTGAAGCTGTATATGAAAGATCCTTTAAACTCACATTAAAGTCCGTGGGCAGAACGAAAGGCACTTGACAGGTGCACTGGCCGCCAGCGTTGGCCTCCAGGTATTCCGCGCAAGTAACATTTCCTCCCGTTGGCTTGCACTTGGTGTAATCGATGATGAGCTCGTTGGCGGTGTTGCTTAGATGCAGGAGAACTACGCCAATGGGTATAAATAACACCCCGATCACAAAGAAAGTAGGCAGGACCGTGCGGGCAGTTAGGACAGGCTGCCAGGCGGGCAGGCGCTGCTGTTTGAAGGCCGAATCTGTGAATAGACGGTAGGAGAACGAGGAAAATGTTAGGGACCAATCGTGACCTCATGGTTTATGCAGGGTACCAGGATTGGCCCCAAAAATCGATTTGCTATTTGACATTAGTCATTCCCCTTATCACTTGTTACGCGCGTAAGTGTGTGCGTGCTTGAGCGTATGATTGAGGGAATGGGTGATGGAGTGGGAATCAAACTGGGTTTTCACCTGAAGGTCGCTTAGACTTCGCCGCTGCATTCTCCTCACTCTCAGCTGGCTGCGTGGACATGGCGGCTTATCTGGTTTTCGCTATAAAATCGTCTGGCTCCCCAAAAAGCTTCTTAACTCGTCCACACGCTGCAAGTTTGCCCAGTTGAATAAAGTAAATACAATAAATTTTCGAGATAGCGATGGCAGCCAATGAGTCATCGATATACATCGATATCATCTTTCGCTACTAACAATCCAATACTGGGGAAATTCTTCAAAATGGTTCTTAGATATGCATACGTATTTGCCGAAATATGTAAGCATTATTTACAAAATTACGTATGATTTAGTTACTTGTTTCTAGTCTTTAATTTTTAAAAGCATTGTGTTCCAGAATTATAAATATTAATTTCCCATTTAAAATGTATTATATTGTATATTAATTTCACATTTTAAAATGTATTTCTAACTTAACTTAACTAACTTATATATGTACAATATTGTACCGGATTTTATTAATTGTAAGAAGTTTTTCCATATTAAAAATCATATTGTTGCGAAATAGATCCTAGTTACATATATAAATAAATTTAATTTGTTTTTTCATTTATTTCGCGGTAATCTGTTCAGTGCTTTCTGAACTTACCCCAGCGTTTCTAGGTGAAAACAGTTTCATGGGAACATGAATGGTAACATTAATTAAATTCATTTTATATTATATAGTTAATTCATAATACCTACACTTTAGAGCCATAGTTCTGTGATGGCCATGTTTTAAATAATATAAGCATATAAAAAATTACATATATATAACATTATAAAAATTACGTTATTATTGGGAAACATGTCAAATTAATAATACAATATTCGAAGAACCTTTCAAAATTCCCTTTAAAATTCCGTTTTGGACCGGTCCAAATAAAATATGAATTGACCATTACCTCGTCATCGCAGGCAGACGTCTAAAAAATATCGATAGACCACCGTATGCAACCGTGTTATATGGAGGCGGCGTTTTCGTTGTTGTGTCAAAACAATACGAGACCAGCAGAATATCAGCACACCCATCGGCCAGCGTAGATAAAGGCACAAGCTAGCAAAGATTAGGATTTATTTTGCCCACCGCGACCCACAAACCAGATCTGATCCCAACCAGAGATCACCCCAAGCACACAGCGGCAATGAAAATCACAGTGACCACCAGCGATGACAAGGTCTTCTGTTTGGACGTGGCCCAGGATCTGGAGCTGGAGAATCTCAAGGCTCTCTGTGCGATGGAGATCGGTGCAGATGTGACCCAAATAGTCGTAATATTTAATGGGCGCGAGCTTTCCATTGACAAACAGACGCTCCAACAGTGCGGCGTCGGTGATGGCGACTTCATTATGCTGGAACGACGCAGGAGCGCCAATCGCTCAGGTGAGAGAATTGGAAATGAAAGTGGGAGGGGATATGTTGATGGAGAGAGGAGAGCTATTAACCCTTAAGTGGGTCACGTCTGGCAGGGACAGGGGCGGATCTTGAGTAAAGTTTTAGGGTAGGTGGCAAGGAGCTCCGCCAACCCATAATCACTTCAATATACATAGATATTACTTTTTAAAATAGAGAAAATACAACAGATGATGAAATTAACTGAATGACTATGGTCTTATTCGACTTTAAGGATTCGATTTAATGGACATATAAACATTCATACAAAGCTAAAAGCGGCGTGGTGAAATTTGAACTGTATTATTATACGACCTATTTTTGTTTTTTTTTTTAAATGCTTGCGTTTTTTAGTTTTTTGGAAAAACGCACATCACATCCAATCTTTTTGCGGCGCAGTTGGTGTTAAAAATAAACGCCTTGTTTCGCATGCCTTTCTTTTTGCAAAATTCCAAAATAACCGACACACAAACACGGGAACACTGGAAGTGGAAGTTGCTTATCTGTTTCCACTGCACCACCAGTGGAAGATAGAGAAAGCGAGAAAATGAGAAAGAGAGTGCGAGGGAATGACAATGGAATTGGAGGAGCAGCAGCAGGTGCCTCGCAGATCCATCCACCTCATCTCCTCCCATCCACCCCGCTTACTTTAGCCTACTGTTTTGTTGACCCCTGCATGCGCATTTGGTCTTGTCAGTATGTTCATTGGAATGGGATCGTGATATAAAAAATGCTTCTAAATGTATATGTGTGCATACATTTTTGCGACTGCAGACAGGTGTGGGCGGTTAACAATTTTCGATTTTATTTTACCATTGCCGTGCACAGCACGAATGATACATCACATTGGACTCCATGGCGTAAGACCCACATTTAAATATAAATATTTTAATTTAATTAAAAACATTTTTTTGCATGCGAGAAAAAAAGGGAATCTTCTAAAACTTTGTCTTTTCCCTTACGATTAGTTTTCTGATAAACTAAATAACTTAGATATATGTATATAATATTCCTATTTAGGTCTTAAGGTAATGTCTAAAACGAATCGTGGGAGACGCACCCCATTTAAAGGTGTTTAACCTTAATATTAATCTTGCTCAAAAGCAAACCCTCGCAATCATTATTAAGTCGAAATAATTTCAGGTGGCGGGAATCCAGCGATCAGCACGCTGGACTTCAGCAGCATCGCAGTGCCGGGCACGAGTTCTGGCGGCAGTCCACCTTCACGGAGTGCCCAGTCGCAGGGATTGCAACAGACACAATTCAACAATCTCACAGATATTCCCATGACCGATGAGTTTAATGTGAACTTCGATGACGACCCAGCGACAGTACGCCAGATGTTTCTGTCTAGTCCCGAGACACTGTCGCTACTCCGGCAATACAATCCACGTTTAGCAGAGGCAATCGATTCCGGCGATCAGGAAACCTTTGCTCGTCTGCTCCGCGAGCATATTACGGAGCGAAAGCGGCGAAATGAGCAGCGTATGCGTATGCTGAACGCCGATCCCTTCGATGAGGCGACACAACGCCTAATTGCAGAGGAGATCAAACAGAAGAATATCCAGGATAACATGGCGGCAGCCATTGAATACAATCCGGAGATCTTCGGCACCGTCACTATGCTGTAAGTATTAGAAGATCTACATAAGTCAAACTCCTTGTATTTATTTATTTATTTATTATTTAAAAAACACAGTCGTAGCATTATTAAATGTTATTATATATTTTACATTTTCTAGTTATATCAATTGTAAAGTGAATGGATTTCCGGTTAAAGCCTTTGTGGACTCTGGCGCCCAGACCACGATCATGAGCAAGGATTGTGCCGAACGATGCCACGTCAACCGGCTGATTGACACGCGTTGGAACGGTGTGGCCAAGGGTGTTGGCACACAGCCCATTCTTGGCAGGATTCACATGGTGCAGCTACAGATTGAGAATGATCATCTAACGTCTAGCTTCACAGTGCTGGGCCAGCAGCCCATGGACATGTTGCTGGGTTTGGATATGCTGAAGAGACATCAGGTAGAACAATATTTTTACTTCCCAATTTTGTTACAATGGAGGAGTGCTAACGAATTCTTTATTGCAGTGCCTAATTGACTTGCAGCGGAATCTTTTGATTATCGGTACCACGGGTACAACGACTCCATTTTTGCCGGAGAGCGAGCTGCCGGTCAGCGCCCGGCTCACAGGAAACTCTGAGGAATCGATGGAGCAGGAGGCCATTGCCAATGCCATTGAGCAGAGCAAGCGAGAGGGTGGCGGCGGCGGAAGTGGCGCTGGGGGTGGACCCAATACAATTCAGCCACTAGACCGTTTCACCGAACAGGACGTCACCGATCTCATGGCCCTAGGATATCCACGCAGCGATGTGCTCACCGTGCTGCGGATGTGCGGCGGCAACAAACAGGCGGCTAGCTCCGTGCTGCTGAACCGCAACGCTGCCGCCTCGGGAGCCGAACTCAGCTGAACACGGCTAGATCCACAGTACACAACACCGCATACCGAAATCCCCACAGACAAAAACCATATTGCTATACGATGAACATGTAGAACCCCACTAAATGGATGCCGTTCCAACGAAATACTCCGAGCAATACCAAAAATAATCCACGCCACAAGAAATGTCAAGTAAGAAACAGTAAGACGGTAATACACACAACAACAACTAACAAGCAATGAAATCAGAAACGAAAATCTTTCTAATTTAGTAAAATTTTTATAAACTGAAGCCACTTTTTTATACGAATCGTTTGTTACGATGTACAATATCTAATTATGGTGTTTTTCCAGCACCGGATCATTTTTAAAGCAGAACAAGGGTTGGTTTTTTCTAGAGAATATTGAGAGAATTAAAATAGGCGATTTAGTCTAAAAACTTAAGACAGAAGTAATGGATAAAAAAAATGGATGGTGACGGAAGCAAGCCGCATCAACGAAAATATAAACGGAAATAAGTACGCCTGACTATTTAAATATATTACAATTATACACAATTTGAACTAGTATTAAGGCTCTGTCAAGAAAAACTGAAATGGGTTCAATAAAAGGTCGAGAGTATTGTTTTGGATTTGAAAAGAAAAGAAAAGAACAAGCGCACTTTGTAATTTGTCTTCTCGGGCATATCGCTGTTTTCTCTTTGTAAATCTTTAATAGCATTTCGTTATAGTATGTATATAAATTATAAAATTACAACTTCTGGTCTGCTGAAGGCTCCAAAGGTTCCACACACGGTTCTACCGTTCACAAGCATACACCATGCGCATATGTCTGGTTTTATTTTTGCAAAACTCAATTAATCGTTTGTTACAGTTGCTATAGTTGTGTCTGATTCTGTGGCTATGCTAATCCTCTTCCTCGTCCTCGTCCTCTTCGTTTGCACGACCCGCCGCCGAGCCCTTGTGATTGAATTCCTTCTCCGGATCAAACTGCATGCCCTCCTGGTCGGCGCCATCCTCCTCGTCATCATCGCCAGCCACCTGGGCGTTCTCGGCCTCAGCGCGTTCCAGTCGTCGGGCCAGATCTGCCTCGTCGATGGCGGTGACCAGTTTGGGCGCCATTATCACCTTGAACTCGCCTTCATACTCGATGATCTTGGCGCGTATGTTCTCAATGGCCACCTCCAGGGCCTTCAGACCGTCTGTTTTCTTTGTGGTGGAAGTGGTCATAACATAGCTGAAAATATTAAGAAGGAGAGTGATTATTTTTCTGGATATAACCTTATTTTAATTGTGGTTAAACGGTTTCGATTATCGTCGTTATTAAAAAAGCAATTTACTCAAAAATAAAAGATATCATTGTAAATTGAATATAAATAATTATGTTTACACACACAAAACAGATCAATATCAATTATACAAGCATTAGCCCACTACTGCTTTTTTAATGCTTATTTTAATCATTACATCATATTAATACAACAAAATGTCTTAATTGGAGAAACGAATAAATATATTTAATTTCACCTATGCTACATAATATTATTTCATCACTCTTAACTCAAATCCGATTCAGCCCAAATGATTTAGTGCCTAGACATACCTAATGCTAATATCGCTTTATTTGACCTTTCTGATATCCTTATTATTAACCACTTCGATAAAATGTTGGCATATTTGTTTTAATTGATCGCCACCCATTTTAAAAACGTTCTTAACTACATGGGAATACCTACAACTTTTAAAATTTGTATCACATCTTACTTACAGTGGCGGTGCTATCAGGTTAATGCGGATAGGCAGCTCCTCGGTGCTGAGCTCCAGGCCCTTGGTGAGCGATGCCTTGACGGCGTCAATGCCCTCATAGCCGTAACAGGAGCATTCGATGTCTGCCCGGATCTTGACCGTGGGCGAGACTAACTTGCGCTTAATGTTGCTCAGTAACACCTCCTTGGTCTCCGTATCCAGATTACACTCGTCAAACACAGATGGATCGGTTACCGATTGCTTGAAGATGTCGTAGGCGACCGTTTTGCTGTTGTATTTCTTCTCGAAGTACCAGGCGGTCTTCTGGTAGAGCTCCTCCAGTTTTTCGTTGCCCTCGTAGCCGAGAATGTCGGCGACATGGCGGAGCAGCGAATTGATTGCCTTGGCCTTTGCGAAACGCTCGGTACACTTTTCCACATCCTCGGGCGAAACACGACGCTTGGACAGATCAATGTAGCCCTTCTCCTTGTCCACACGGATGACCACCACTGGCTCGGTCTTGCCCACGCGGATTAGCTTGTTGATAGAGCGGATACGACGACGGGACAACTCCGAAAGCAGAATCATGCCCTCGATGTTGTTGTACTCCAGCAGATGGACGTAGGCGCCCATCTCGGCGATGGAAAGCACGTTCACCATGACGACATCCTCGATTTCTGGGTACCGCTCGTTATAGAAGCGCGACGTGAGGGCCATCTTTTAATCCGTAGCCTTTAGCAAAAAAAAAAGGGTAAATGCACTTTTCGAAAAGAAAAACGTGTACAATTTTTGCCGAGCGGGCGCAAGAAGAAGCAGCGTTTAGTATGACAGTGACGATATCGATTGCTTCAGCCGGTAAGGCACCGATAGTTGGCCCGTAATTGGTCACACAATAGAGGTGCGGTTACAGCGAGCATATCGATTTCCTTAGACAGTCACGTCGAATCTGGTAACACTGCCTACAAACCGTTCAAATATTTAAAATTTAAAATATTAAACTTGAAAGCAAATCATCATATCACAGAAGATATTTTTATTTCTGACACTGCCGTACACTGAAACGGTTTTTCCCCGGTATCCGTTAACGAGTGTCGCTTCAGAGATAAATGATCTATAAAAGCTTTAGAACAGTAGGTACTTTCGAATCGTCGTTCTCCCGTGTGCGTCATAATGTGCGCCTTTAGATGTGCATGCTGTCGAAATGTTTTTTCGTAAAAGGAACACTGATGGGGCCGTTCGTTTGTGTGGATACGCAGGTGTTGGGTAAGGACTCCCTTCTGAGCAAATGTCTTCGAGCAGTAGGAACACTTAAAAGGTATTTGTTGGTGCATTTTCAGGCGTGACTTCTGGGTAAAAGCCATCGGGCAAACGAAACAACTGAATGGTTTTTCAACCTTGTGAGATTCCAAGTGCTGTTTGAGTTCTGCTTGCTTTCCAAAATCTACCGAGCATAGCTTGCACTTGTGTCTTGAGCAAACACTTTGGTTGTCGTGCTTCTGAATGTGCCGATCGCAATTGTAGGGTCCTGGTAACTGATTCATTTTCTCATCAAACTCTTTACTTGATTTATTTTTCACCAGGATTTTTGATGGATCCATGGTAGTGGTATCTAAATGTGAGTCTTGGATATTGTTAGAACCAGTCAACTCGCTGTCTACTTCCACGAGCAGTTTTTCGTCCAGATATTCCTACTTAACTGTCTCCATTGTCCTCTTATTAGGTAACAAGAAGTGCGGTAAATAGTAAGAATAATTAAAAATAATCTCAATCTGATATCGTTTTGATATTTCTTTTGATTTGCTATAGCCAGTCAAAGCAAAAGTTATGGCATCTACACACTGTCAACTTGACATTAGCAGTGTGACCTCCTAGATTAGCATATTTTAACGATAGTTAATATTGGTTGTTTCCCACAAAAGAGATAATACATATTAAAAGTTAAATAATTTTTATTTCATTTTTGGGGAAAATTGTTCAATGATTCAGAACAAAAATAAGGTGAAATGCAGAAGAATTCAGTTGTTCATTGTTTATTAAAATTAAGAAATTATAAGCTAATTTATGTACATATCTCATACACATAAAAATTTCTTTAAAGAATAAACTGTGGTACAACTAATTTTGGCTTCATTTATTATTTTTGACAAATTATCTGTTGTAATCTCGATTCACTGTAAGCCTTCTTTTTGAGAAAGGTACAAATGGGCGTCGGCTGCCTATAATTAAATACATAGATAAGATTAAATTAAAGATATAACTAAATAAAATTGCTGCGGATTACGTACGGTTTTAAACCAAACGGAAGGCCTGAAGATTAGTCTGGAAAGGAATCCCATTTCTGATCTTGGAGCAATGGCATGCATATGAAGGTGTTTTACCGTAATGAACGGTGGAAGGTGAAACCCAAATAAAGCATCCTCAGCGGATATTCCTTTGGCCGCTAGGAACTCCTTCAAGCTGCTCTCCATCCGTGCAACTAAAATAAAATGAAATCATGAGAGATATAAAAATGAGCTATTAGCATAATACTCCAATTTTACCCAATGGGTCGTGAGACTTGTCCAGCTCCTTGAGGCTGTTGTAATGTTCCTTGGTTACAGCCAAAAAATGGTGCTGGGAAGCGGGTTTGATGTCCTTAAAAATTACAAATTCATCGGTTTCCACTTCCAAAACACTTGTAGGATCATTTCCGCTAGCTATTTTACAGAAAATGCAATTGTCATCCGCCATAACTATAATTTAGATTAATATATGTAAAAAATAGGAATTTGTACTTGGACAGCTGATTAGGTGCACTAAAGGGTCTTAATCTAAATATCGATAATAGTATGTGGCCGGTATATCAATAGCGGTCTTAGATATCGGTAGTGTTCCGAAAATCAAGTATTTTATTGGTCGTCGTGGTTAATGCATTGGGTAAGTCCATCGATGTACTTAATATGCGTAGTAGTTGTACTCGCTAAACGGCCATAAAAAATACCACGTAGTCGGCAAGAAAAATGGTGTGGTGACACTTGCGCGGCGAATTCGCATCGATAGTATTTTTCGCCCGTGTGTTCACACTGCGGATTGCAGCGAATTCGCTCATTTGAAAAAAATAAAACATGGCTGGAAGAGGTGGTTATGAACACGCTAGGTAAATATTATTAATTATTATTGCAATCGCAAACGTTCCTTAATGGCCGCGATACGCCGGTGTTTGTGAAAGTGACCGCGATGCGTTCGATTTGTGCGAGTGCCGACAATTTGGCTAAAATGTGTAATAATGCACGCGGTTTTTTGGGGTTTGGGCAAAAAAAGGCAACACCAGCCCACCAACACACGCGCACGCTCTCGCCTCGCCGCTCACACACACGCGCGCACGAATACGTGTATGCATATAGTGTACGTGTCGGTCGTTGGTCGCCGCCGCCGCCGCCTTTGTGTGTGTGTGTGTTTGTGTGAGTGAGTGACCGTGTGTGTGTGCGGAACAGTGTGCGTGTTTTTTTTCCAACATTCATTTTCGTTTTTTTTTTTTTTCGATTCCACCGCCTGCGTTGTTTTTCTTTTCGGAAAAATTCTGCTGCAGCCGGCGTCTCCGTCGCTGCCGGCGTCGACGTCGACTGCAGCGGTAGCAGAGCTCTAGCGGATTCTAAATAAAATCCCCCACTCCCATTAAATAAAAAAGGAAACGAATCCAAAAATAGTATGCAAAATCCATGCAGAATGCAGTTTTTGGCAAAAAGCGCGCGCGATTTTCCCGACCATTTGACACCTGTCCTACGCCTTTGTTGTGGTTTTTGTTATTGTTATTTGTGCCTGCATCTTTGTTGACTTTTCGCCGGGAATCTGAGCCAGCATTACCTAGATATTTCCAGCCATGTGCGTTTTGCCATTACCTCAAGGGGTGGCGCCCCCGCCCTGCCCACAATCAAGAAGAAGACGCAGACACACCCCCATTAATTGGATTCGGTTTCAAGGTTCTAAGGCAACGCTCCTCCGAGTACTGAGACACAGCACCAGGAGGACAGAAATTGACCACATTCTGATTATTTTTATTAGCCATCAATCATCAAGGTTCTTGGAATCGAAGATTAGGGAAAACTAGAGTTCATTCATATTTTATTTCTTGAAACATATCCCCACGTGAACATAAAACAAAAAATCTAGTCATATCCTTTTTTATTTTAACTTCCAAATATAATAATCTTTTATAAGAAATTTGTAGCTAGTTAATGCCTAAGACTTTACTAATATCTTATTCCTTCTCCATTTCAGAGGCGGATTCGGTGGAGATCGGGCATCCAAGCAGTTGCCCACGGAACCGCCTTTTATCGCATTCGTCGGCAATCTGCCGCAAGGCCTTGTGCAGGGCGATGTGATCAAAATATTCCAGGACTTTGAGGTCAAGTACGTTCGGCTGGTGAAGGATCGGGAAACGGATCAATTCAAAGGCTTCTGCTACGTTGAATTTGAAACGCTGGACAATCTGGAGCGGGCGTTAGAATGCGATGGTCGGATCAAACTGGACGACCTGTCGGCGCCACTGCGCATCGATATTGCCGATCGTCGGAAAAATGATCGGTATGTGAGCAAAGCCATAATCTTTAAGCCATTAGAAAGGGATTTCCATATCTTTTTCTAAGTAAATTTTCATTAAATGTTATCTTTTAGCCACTATTTCGGCCTAAAACACCAAAGTATATATTTGAGTTCAGTATTTCAACGATGACTGTTTTCCATTGTATAGGTTCACCTAACAATTTCTATATCGATCCATTCACACATCTACCTACCTATACCATACGGATTTATATAACGAATTACTATATTTTGAACTTTATTTTTACAGCCCTGGTGGCGGTGTTGGAGGCGGTGGCAACGGCGGAATGACGCGCGGCGACGGCAGAGACGGTTTCCAGAAACGTGGCCCACCACGACAAGGCGGCAGCAGTCAGTCATACAGCCGGGGAGGTCCTGGCACTGGCGGCGGTCGCGAAGGCGGCGGCGGATCGGGTAATCGCGGCGATAGTAGAGGTTCGTACAATGATAGTTATGGTGGTCACAATGATAGAAGTCGTGGCGGCGGCGGCAGCGGCGCGGGCACTGGCGGTGGCATGAATAGAGGATACAATGGTAAAGCATTTTTATCTGCCGTCCAACCAACCAACCAATCAACCAACACGTAGCTGCATCCCTCGTAGTGCCGCCAAAAAAAAGTAGTTGATTCTGATTACTTAGAACGATTCCGACTCCGATCCTGATTCAAAATACTAATTCGATTCAGTCGCATGGCCGGAAAAAATCCATGCTGCAGTCCTCGAAAGTGATCCTAGAATCTTCCCATTCTGTTTCTGTTTCCGTTTTCGTTTCTGTTTCTTATTTGTTATCCTCCTGCGGTTCTTCATGCTGATCTTGAGTTGTTTTGGCTTTACTCTTCTTTGGAAGTTTGTATATGGGGTGGGTCGATATAGATTTTTCCTAGAACTGTAACAATCCCCATAGGAAGAAGATATTTTGTATAAATTTATAAACATATTAGAGTCTTTGGTCGATAGGAATCAATACGCATTAGTTACAACAATAGTAAGTAGAATATAAGTTGATTTACTGTAAAGATGCTCCACATTATCTAAGCGGATGTACTTCATTTAACTCCTCCCACCCTCTACTATTGGGATTTGTTTGTCCATTGAAATCGACCCACCCTACCATCCCATATAGATCCCGTGAATCAGTATCCTAAGCACACACTTTAATAGTTTTGAAACGACTTTCCACCCGCACGCTTTTTACTTTGAACTGCATTTAGTCAGCATGCTGAGCCTTAGTCTAAGCAGGATAACCACTGTCCAGTAGATGCTAATCCAGTTGCTTCCGTTGCAGATCGGCCGGCAAATCGGGGTCGGTACGGCAATTTCAACAATGACGATCGATTTGATCGTAACCAGGATCGTGACCGTGGACAGCGGGAAGGAAGCTATGGCAATCAGTCGCGCGACGGCGATCGTTACAACAACTTCAGCCGGCACCGTGACCGCGAGCGTACCCACTACAATCCCAACCAGCAGAGCGAACGTCCCAGCGGCGGAATGGGCGGCCTAGGCGGTGGATCCGGCGGATCAGGTGGTCTGGGCGTCGGTGGTGGTTCCTCGATGGGTGCCATTGGTGAGTTTGAATACAAATTTCCTAATATATAAAATAACTCAATTATTCATAAACTAATCTAATTTATATATCCATATCGTATGAATAGACGATAATGAGCGGCCACGCCTGCAGCTGAAACCACGGACAATTGCCGCGCCCATAAACGCGGTGGCCGAGACCAAGCAATCGGCCTCGATCTTTGGCAATGCCAAGCCGCGCGAGGAGAAGCTGAAGGAGCTGCAGCAGAATGTCAATCACAACGGCGATAACTAGAGGGCAGGATTCGGTCCGCAATATAATATGCCTGATATGATATTTTGGTGTGCGAAATAGAAAGAGAGGGAACGAGCGATAAGCGCGAAGCAGATATGGATGAGGAGGAGGATAAGGAGTACGAAGATGAGAATGAGGAGGAGCAGAAGGAGCATCAGCAGCATGCATATATAAACACATACATTAATTAATAACACTACGCTACATACCTATTATATACGAAAGATATGTACTACATTATGAGAACGAAGATGAAACAACAGGCTGGCCTCTGTGTCTCTGTGTCAGTGTCCAGTGTCAGTCAGCAAGCAAGCAACTTAACGGTAGCAACAGCAACAGCAGTAGCAGCAGCAGCAGCATTAGCAACAGCAGCAGCAACATCAGCACAGCAACATCAAGCCAAGCAGCAACCAAGCAACCTTTCTTACTCTTTGCAAAACAAGAACATCCGCAACAACAATGGAAAAGTCTATAAATGTTAGTCCTTAAGCAGCGATAAACTTTAGTCTCGTGCATATGGCCTATATATATAAATATATAGTATATATATATATATACGTTTATGTACGATTCATGTACAGCAGCTGTATGCACGCTGCTATTTGTTAGTTAAGTTCAAAAAAAAAAAAACAAAACAAAAGTTCTACCATTAAGGTATAAATAGTAAACAAAAAACAAGCAAAACAAAAAAGTGAAAACCATATATAAAAAAAGAAAAACTCGAAAAACAAAGCAAAAATCGAAAACAAAAACTTTTTTGACAAAACGTTCAGCGTAGCAGGCAGGCAATTTATACAGTTTATATAGCAAAAAAAAAAGAGAAAAAAACCAAAAAAAAAAACAAAAACAAAAACAAATAACGAAACCAATTACTGAACATATATACCTTATGAGAAAAACACCAACAACAACAGATCTAACAAAACAAATCGCAGATAAGCAGAACACCAACTACGTACGTAACAAACAAACAAAACAAAACGAAAAAAGAAGAAAACAAACAAACAATGAAATGGAGATGTAATCGTTGAAGATTAACTAGAAGAAATACGCAGAAGTAATAACAATAACAGCAACAAGAAACTTTATATATACCTTACAGAATTACAATCGACTACATAGTTCTTATGTAGCTGATCGAAAAAGTCAAAGTCGCAGACCAAATTATACAATTATAATTTTGATATTCACATATTTGAACTTGAACCTTTTTATCTGTTTCATTCATAAGTAGCTGCTCCTATATTTAATCTTTAACCCGCCAATCAGTGTACTATTATTCTTTCTAATATTCTAGATTTCTTTGTAGATAACCTTTGTATAAGACGAGAAAAGTATGAAAAACAATGTATAAATTTAATTTTTTGTTTGTGTGTTTCCATTTTTCTTTGCAATCACAATGTACGTAGATGCGAATAGTGTTTTTCCCTTCTTGAATGACCTTCTGTTTGTTTCCTCACGAGTTTCAAATTTTTTTTTTAATTAATTTTTTTTGTACCTTGCAAGAGCTGGAAAAATTCGCGAAAGTTGTAAATTAATTTGAAAATAAAGCAAAAAAAATTTACATAAGAATTTACCGTTTCGGTTTGGTGTTTTCCTTCGGACTTATTCGGAATTGTTTCTTTTTCTTTTCGGAGTGCTGCTCAATGCACTTTGTACATACATACAATCAAAAACAAGAAAATAATTACACTTTCCCACTTTTTCCTCCCTCACTCCCAGTCCTCGGGAGTACAATAATTGTGTTGTCCTGCCCGAATCGACTCAGTCCTGTCCTGCTTCGGATTCTGGATTCCGGCACCGCGAAACCCACTCATTTTGATTGCGATATCCCAAATCATGAAAAAAAAAAAAAAAAAAGAAAAGAAACCATACGAAACCGACTTGACCGACCGACAAAGCTCACCCAGAGTTAACCGCGTCCAGCTGGCGCAGCAAGTAAATGAAGTAAATAGAAATACAAATACAAATGAGAGTATAATGTGTAACAGTTAAAGTAAAGATTACGTTTAATATACCTTTAAAGCTAAAGATAAACTTAACATTTAATTTTTAGCACTAATACAATACCGTAAGCAGTCAAAGATTTACACTAAAATGATAAAGTGAGAAAACGAAAAAAAAGAAAACGGACAAACAATATTTGTAACTCCTCAAAAATATGAATGAAATGAATGAGAAGAAAACATGATCGAGTTGACAACTTAATTAATTGCTGCTCTCAAAAACCTAATTAAGAACTTTGATATGCATTTTAAAACGCCCATAAAGACAAAGAATTGTTTAAATTACGATTAAACCAAAAGCAAAACTAAAACGAGAATTTATACAAAGCAAGAGTTAGACATTAACTTACATCATAAAACATCTATACATAAACACACACACAAATAAATAAATAAATATACGCTATGATTAATGACGAAACTGATCGAGTTAAGCCAAGATTATATAGCAATTCTACTCTTAGCAACCGCAATAAATAAAAACAAAAACTAACCGAAATTAGCAAGCAGTTAAAGAAACAAATTTCGTAGCGCGTGAACGAGAAATCAATTTTTACCAATTACCACACCAGAAAACATCGCAAAATGCTAACTTCATGTAACTTACATAACAAGAAATTAATAAAGTAACAAATCAACAAAGTCAAATCAACAGACAGAAAGACGTTTAATTAAGTAATTGAGGAACGAACGCTAAACAAAATTCATACACAACATTATAACGAAATATATAAATATATATATATTTTTTGTTGTTTGAACATTTTGTACGATACGTATATATACACATATATACATATAACTAAATAAATAAATAAAAGAAATTATAATAAAACTCATCTCATTTTGTTTTTACGAAAACTGGGTTCTGAACTTCAAACCCCAAAAAAAGAATTTTTCGCTGAAAAAAATGATGTTTTGTTACCCATTATGAAAAATGTGAAGTGAAATGAAGTTTCCCAGATTTTAATGCAAGTCAATTGGGAATCATGGCAATCAAGTTACGAGCCCTACGAGGTATTACATTCCTCATTTGGACCATTTATGGCTGTGCTATGACCAAAAAACTGATTTTTTTCCGCCCAAAATCAGGTATACGTCTTATAGCAGCAGAGAGTCCGGTTTTGTTGCAGTCTCTTAGCTCTAACTTTGTTAATACAAGACGCACGGCTAAGCCAATGACTGTTTTATGCAGCTAACAACCGAAACTTAACACCCCTATACTTGCTTTTATCATTATTGCTCTGATTTTTCGGTGCGAGCTCTGGAAACCGATTTTTAACAGAAATTTGCAATACTCTGTTCGGTTTTTAGCTCTAGCTCGGCCAAAACAAGACGCACAGCCAAAATAATGGTTGTTTCGTGCTGCTAACGACCAATACTAACCACCCCTATCACCCGTTTTTCGATTTTGGGAAAGTCAATTTTGGCCCAAATTTCGCATTTTTGATAAGGGGTACCATCATCAAAATTTTCAAAAATGGGCCAAAAATGAAGTTTCCCAGATTTGAATGCAAACCAATTGGGAATCTTGGCAATCAAGTTAGGAGGCCTACGAGGTATTACATTTACCATTTGGACCATTTTTGGCTGTGCTATAGCAACAAAACTAATTTTTTTTCGCCCAAATCAAGTATACGTCTTTTAGCAGCAGAAATTCCGGTTTTGTTGCAGTCTCTTAGCTCTAACTTTGTTAATACAAGACGCACGGCTAAGCCAATGACTGTTTTATGCAGCTAACAACCGAAACTTAACACCCCTATACTTGCTTTTATCATTATTGCTCTGATTTTTCGGTGGGAGCTCTGGAAACCGATTTTTAACAGAAATTTGCAATACTATGCTCGGTTTTTAGCTCTAGCTCGGCCAAAACAAGACGCACAGCCAAAAGAACGACTGTTTCGTGCTGCTAACGACCAATACTAACCACCCCTATCACCCGTTTTTCGATTTTGGGAAAGTCAATTTTGGCCCAAATTTCGCATTTTTGATAAGGGGTACCATCATCAAAATTTTCAAAAATGGGCCAAAAATGAAGTTTCCCAGATTTGAATGCAAATCAATTGGGAATCATGGCAATCAAGTAACGAGCCCTACGAGGTATTACATTCCTCATTTGGACCATTTATGGCTGTGCTATGACCAAAAAACTGATTTTTTTCCGCCCAAAATCAGGTATACGTCTTATAGCAGCAGAGAGTCCGGTTTTGTTGCAGTCTCTTAGCTCTAACTTTGTTAATACAAGACGCACGGCTAAGCCAATGACTGTTTTATGCAGCTAACAACCGAAACTTAACACCCCTATACTTGCTTTTATCATTATTGCTCTGATTTTTCGGTGGGAGCTCTGGATACCGATTTTTAACAGAAATTTGCAATACTATGCTCGGTTTTTAGCTCTAGCTCGGCCAAAACAAGACGCACAGCCAAAATAACGACTGTTTCGTGCTGCTAACGACCAATACTAACCACCCCTATCACCCGTTTTTCGATTTTGGGAAAGTCAATTTTGGCCCAAATTTCGCATTTTTGATAAGGGGTACCATCATCAAAATTTTCAAAAATGGGCCAAAAATGAAGATTCCCAGATTTGAATGCAAATCAATTGGGAATCATGGCAATCAAGTAACGAGCCCTACGAGGTATTACATTCCTCATTTGGACCATTTATGGCTGTGCTATGACCAAAAAACTGATTTTTTTCCAGGTATACGTCTTATAGCAGCAGAGAGTCCGGTTTTGTTGCAGTCTCTTAGCTCTAACTTTGTTAATACAAGACGCACGGCTAAGCCAATGACTGTTTTATGCAGCTAACAACCGAAACTTAACACCCCTATACTTGCTTTTATCATTATTGCTCTGATTTTTCGGTGCGAGCTCTGGAAACCGATTTTTAACAGAAATTTGCAATACTATGCTCGGTTTTTAGCTCTAGCTCGGCCAAAACAAGACGCACAGCCAAAAGAACGACTGTTTCGTGCTGCTAACGACCAATACTAACCACCCCTATCACCCGTTTTTCGATTTTGGGAAAGTCAATTTTGGCCCAAATTTCGCATTTTTGATAAGGGGGTACCATCATCAAAATTTTCAAAAAATGGGCCAAAAATGAAGTTTCCCAGATTTGAATGCAAATCAATTGGGAATCATGGCAATCAAGTAACGAGTCCTACGAGGTATTACATTCCTCATTTGTACCATTTTTGTCTGTGCTATAGCAACAAAACTGATTTTTTTTCCGCCCAAACTCAAGTATACGTCTTTTAGCAGCAGAAATTCCGATTTTGTTGCAGTCTCTTAGCTCTAACTTTGTTAATACAAGACGTACGGATAAGCCAATGACTGTTTTATGCAGTTAACAACCGAAACTTAACACCCCTATACTTGCTTTTATCATTATTGTTCTGATTTTTCGGTGCGAGCTCTGGAAACCGATTTTTAACAGAAATTTGCAATACTCTGTTCGGTTTTTTAGCTCTAGCTCGGTCAAAACAAGACGCACAGCCAAAATAATGGTTGTTTCGTGCTGCTAACGACCAATACTAACCACCCCTATCACCCGTTTTTCGATTTTGGGAAAGTCAATTTTGGCCCAAATTTCGCATTTTTGATAAGGGGTACCATCATCAAAATTTTCAAAAATGGGCCAAAAATGAAGTTTCCCAGATTTGAATGCAAACCAATTGGGAATCTTGGCAATCAAGTTAGGAGGCCTACGAGGTATTACATTTACCATTTGGACCATTTTTGGCTGTGCTATAGCAACAAAACTAATTTTTTTCCGCCCAAAATCAAGTATACGTCTTTTAGCAGCAGAAATTCCGGTTTTGTTGCAGTCTCTTAGCTCTAACTTTGTTAATGCAAGACGCACGGCTAAGCCAATGACTGTTTTATGCAGCTAACAACCGAAACTTAACACCCCTATACTTGCTTTTATCATTATTGCTCTGATTTTTCGGTGCGAGCCATGGAAACCGAATTTTAACAGAAATTTGCAATACTATGCTCGGTTTTTAGCTCTAGCTCGGCCAAAACAAGACGCACAGCCAAAAGAACGACTGTTTCGTGCTGCTAACGACCAATACTAACCACCCCTATCACCCGTTTTTCGATTTTGGGAAAGTCAATTTTGGCCCAAATTTCGCATTTTTGATAAGGGGTACCATCATCAAAATTTTCAAAAATGGGCCAAAAATGAAGTTTCCCAGATTTGAATGCAAATCAATTGGGAATCATGGCAATCAAGTAACGAGCCCTACGAGGTATTACATTCCTCATTTGGACCATTTTTGGCTGTGCTATAGCAACAAAACTGATTTTTTTCCGCCCAAAATCAAGTATACGTCTTTTAGCAGCAGAAATTCCGATTTTGTTGCAGTCTCTTAGCTCTAACTTTGTTAATACAAGACGTACGGATAAGCCAATGACTGTTTTATGCAGTTAACAACCGAAACTTAACACCCCTATACTTGCTTTTATCATTATTGTTCTGATTTTTCGGTGCGAGCTCTGGAAACCGATTTTTAACAGAAATTTGCAATACTCTGTTCGGTTTTTTAGCTCTAGCTCGGTCAAAACAAGACGCACAGCCAAAATAATGGTTGTTTCGTGCTGCTAACGACCAATACTAACCACCCCTATCACCCGTTTTTCGATTTTGGGAAAGTCAATTTTGGCCCAAATTTCGCATTTTTGATAAGGGTACCATCATCAAAATTTTCAAAAATGGGCCAAAAATGAAGTTTCCCAGATTTGAATGCAAACCAATTGGGAATCTTGGCAATCAAGTTAGGAGGCCTACGAGGTATTACATTTACCATTTGGACCATTTTTGGCTGTGCTATAGCAACAAAACTAATTTTTTTCCGCCCAAAATCAAGTATACGTCTTTTAGCAGCAGAAATTCCGGTTTTGTTGCAGTCTCTTAGCTCTAACTTTGTTAATGCAAGACGCACGGCTAAGCCAATGACTGTTTTATGCAGCTAACAACCGAAACTTAACACCCCTATACTTGCTTTTATCATTATTGCTCTGATTTTTCGGTGCGAGCCATGGAAACCGAATTTTAACAGAAATTTGCAATACTATGCTCGGTTTTTTAGCTCTAGCTCGGTCAAAACAAGACGCACAGCCAAAATAATGGTTGTTTCGTACTGCTAACGACCAATACTAACCACCCCAATCACCCGTTTTTCGATTTTGGGAAAGTCAATTTTGGCCCAAATTTCGCATTTTTGATAAGGGGTACCATCATCAAAATTTTCAAAAATGGGCCAAAAATGAAGTTTCCCAGATTTGAATGCAAACCAATTGGGAATCATGGTAATCAAGTTAGGAGCCCTACAAGGTATTACATTCCTCATTTGGACCATTTTTGGCTGTGCTATAGCAACAAAACTGATTTTTTTCCGCCCAAAATCAAGTATACGTCTTTTAGCAGCAGAAATTCCGGTTTTGTTGCAGTCTCTTAGCTCTAACTTTGTTAATACAAGACGCACGGCTAAGCCAATGACTGTTTTATGCAGCTAACAACCGAAACTTAACACCCCTATACTTGCTTTTATCACTATTGCTCTGATTTTTCGGTGGGAGCTCTGGAAACCGATTTTTAACAGAAATTTGCAATACTCTGTTCGGTTTTTTAGCTC